AGAATCTAATCCGTATTAATTTAATTATAAAATAATAGCTAGTATTGATATAAATAAATAAATAAATGGTAAGCGTTTTGTGAGTTTTGGTTAGCGGGTTATTTTCATTTTATTAAAAATTAAATGATGTTAAGTGTGGGAGAGCCATGCTTCGGCACAAATTTATTTATTTAGTTATATTTAAACATTACATTCATCATTACAGGCACACCTAATACGATAAATGCAGTTACATATTATTAGTAAACTTATAACACAATATCCGGGTAATAACCGTAAAATAATTTAGACAAAGAAAAACAAAAGAACATAAGCACAAAGAACCTTAATTAAACTTACAGGATAATACATTTCCACAAAACTATCCCTAATAAATGTAAATAACTTTAGTAATAACAAATATGTACTTATATTTTAAAATCTATGTACCTAGTTACTAACAACATAAATTATATAAATAGATGGGTCGACTCGACCGGAGTGATACCACGGCCTCACAGAAAACCGGCGTGAAACAACCACAGCGTTGTATTTCGCCGTGTGAGTGAGGTTACCGGAGGCCCAATCCTTCCCCTCCCCCAATCCTTAAATCTCCGAATCCCTAATCTCCAAAAGGTCGGCAACGCAGTCGTAACTCCTCCGTTGCGGGTGTCCATGGGCGGCGCTGACTGCTTACCATCAGGTAATACGTCTGCTCTTTTGCCGACCTATTACATAAAAAAAGACAGTAAATTTAGGTGAACAGGGTTCCCTATCTAAATGAAGTTTATCTTGAGTTTCTTTGTTAGTCAATCTCTCGTGTGTTAATCTTTAGTTTAAATACTCACTGATGATTTATTGTTGTTCGATATGACAACAATTGTTTACTTACTATGTTCGTGGGCGGCGCTGATTACAATGCCATAGCTAACCACGGAACAACACTTTGTGTGATCCACAAATTGTTGTTTCGGGTCTTGGTGTGATGTCTATGTGACATTGTATGTTTGTAAACGCACCCACAACGCAGGAGAAAATACTAAAGTGGAGCAACGTTTAAAAAAAATTGCTATTCCATAAAATCTGTACAAATGTAATTAAATACGAATTGATGTGAGGCTCGAGTAAAACAAATGTAATTTTTTTACATTTTTTTCCACCCGTACAAGAGCGGCTGGACAAGGCTGGCATGGTGGGTCATTGTGTAGCCCAGTTTCTCACGGGTCATGGCAAATTATTTTCATTTAAGCTTGTTGATTCCCCACGTAATATGAATGTAGAACAAATTTCCGTGCATTTAGGCGTTATTGCCATACCTATTACTGGAAACAACTATAGCAGCTCACACATAGGTCCCATTACAATAAAAATATAAAATTATCCGTGGTGTATGGTGACTGGGCTTCTCCCAGTTGTACAGTCTCTTAGGGCTAACTAGGGAAGTGGAAACTATTTCGTTTTTTCTTCTCCTCAAATAATATCTTCTGATTTATTTCGTTGCGGGATCTAAGACAGTCATTCATGTCCCTGGGACGCGCCGGTAAATACATATATGTATGTAAGTTAGTTTAGTAATTATATAATATTATATATGTACACTTTCCCAAACCTAGGTTGCATATTTTTTTGTTTGATATTCATAATAAAGTCCTTAACTTATATTCTTCTTACTACTTACCTAAAACTCTCATGTTCTCAATTACATGAGATTAAAGTATACCTAACTGGTGTTGCATTAATTTTTCCTTGCATGCATCTTTGTGTGAACACTGCCTACCATTGTATGGAAGATAACATAAATGATCTATTTATGTCACACGCACGTTATAATCCGCTGTACAACATTACGAATAGAAACCCCAAGTGTAAGTGCCCACTGCTAAGCAAAGGCCTCTTCTCACACGGAGAAGGATTGACCATTTATCACCACGCTTGCTCAAGGCGGAATCTAAAAATCTATAGTAATGATCGCCGTTTTAAAAAAGTCTGTCGCCTTTACTCGCACATAGTGCATTTTTAAAGTGCACAATGTCATTCTGATTTTATGTAACACATTATAGTAAAAGTAAGTTTATCTCATTACTCTTTTATCATCTCTTAATCAATCTTCTTGTTAATTAATATAGATAAAACAGCTAAGGAATAAGTTTTCAAAAAAACTATTTCTCAACTAGTTTCTTTCAGCCGCTTCGTCCGCAGTACCAGGGTAGAAAATAATTTTCTTACTAGCTTTTGCCCGCGACTTCGTTCTCGTGGAATAATGACCTCCTGCAGATTTTTGGTATAAAACAAATCGATTCAGTAGTTTAGGCGTGAAGAAAATATAGACAGACAGACAGAGTTACTTTCGCATTTATAAAATTAGTTTGGATTTGGAAGTTTGGATTCCAGACTGTTCTATCTCTGTCTAAATTCCATTCTGATTCACCTATGAGATATTTGGTTTAGGCGCTGAACTAAAGGTCAAATCTTGGTATGTCTTTTTATATTAAAGTGATCTTATAAAATACATACAATGATTTTGTATTTTTCTTTAAAATTAGCTAACATTAATTTAGGTTTATAACTACCCAATTTTAAATATTACATTCTACATTCAATTTTTAGATAAAAACTTATTGCAATATAGTTTAAAGTCAGTTAATTACAAAACATATATACCATAGTAGCTTTTACATGAAAGAAAAACCAACGTCCTTTCATCCATAATTTCAAATTAAGAGAGATTTTCATTTGCAATATCCTCATGGATAACCTCAAGAGGACTTTGACTCCAATCTATTTATAATTAAGTCGTTGTATAATTATTTCACTGGCTAAACGCCAACCTAACACGAATAGTTAACTTGCCTAGATTCACAGTGTTAATTACGTCAATTATCTGTTCAATGTTTTTGTGTCTTTATCTCATAATCTGTGTCTTTTATGCAATATGGCGATTATGATAGACTTGTTTAAGATTGCGGCCTTATCTTATTTATTGATATTACGTGATATCTTAATGTATGTACCTACATTATGCGGTAGTGATAATACAGAAGTTGAGACTCCGTGTTCCTATAGTCTGTCGGCTTAAGTGGTTAACTAAAGGTAAACAATGTTGGTATGTCTTTTTATATTAAAGAGCTCGTATAAAGTACATACAAAGATTATTTAAATTCAGTTTATTAGCTAACATCGATTTAGGTAAATGGCTGATGGTACCTAAACATTTTTACATACAATTTTCAGACAACTTTTAGATATTTTTATTATAACTTTCGTGAGACATTAAAAATTAATTATTATGCTTTCGGCTTACTCACCTAATAATTTGATATACATATATACATATGGGTTTCTAGTATGACTTGAAACTAGTCGAGTATCTCGTCAAATTATTTTGTAAGTAAGCCGAAAGCATAATAATTAACTTTTAGATAAAAAGGTGTGCCATGATTGTTTATTATCAAACCGATAGAACACAATTACTTGGATTATACTAAAAACTAAATATTATAAATATAAATATTAGGTCTTTTAATTCACTTAAGACCCCTTGTTCAACTTAGTAGAAGTTGCAACCTCTGAATCCAATTACTCAACTTTAACTAATAACTTCTTCTTCTTTCTTCTTATTCGGTGTGTGTCGATGGACGGCGTTGATTGCTTATAAACAACAGGCAATACGTTCTGTTCGTTGGAAGCCTGAGACAATAAAGTGAAGAACAATTCACCAAAGACATAATTAAAAAAATATATAAAATAAATATTCAATTCATTAAACAGATAACAAACGCATCTATAAGCAACTGGCTGACGTGCAACGTGTCGCGGGTTCAAGTCTCGCACGGAGCAACACTTTGTGTCACAATTTATTATTCTGAAACAGGAGAAAATTCTAGAGAAAGGCAACGTTTCAATAAAAAAATCTATCAGTGAAAGAATTTCGGAAATCAGACCAGCGGTGGTTCCGAAGATTACCCCCTAGCCCTCTACATACGAACTTACAAATACTTTCTCCTTATAATATTAGTTTACATTAGTAGACTCTGATCTCTGTTTTCAGTATTTCTTCTCAGTATAGTCAGATAGAAGAAGCAGTAGTTGACAACCGGTTGTTGTGCAACGTGTCACGGATTCGATTCTCGCAGGGAATAGCTCGTCTTGTGATCCATCCAGTTGTTCCGGGTCTGGATGTGTTGAAAATATATTCTTAACTTTGACGCAGTAGCAGTATTTAATATTTTTACGGAATGTTGCACCACAGTTGTCATTTGTCAGACTGATTTAGCTAAAATTCTGAGTAGTCAGCCTGATCAATTAAGTTTTAAGGGTCCTATCAATCATTTTGAAATATCAATTATTCTGTTAAGACAGATAAAATTACCTTAATACCTACCAGGTCGTTCCAGCTTTGCACGGGTATTCAACTATCTCGCTAAAGAAAAAATGGTCACAAATTCCCAATGTCATGTCATAGGGCAGCGGTATGACACAAAATTGGGAATGGGCTGGCGGAATCCCGCCAGCTCGTCTGCCGCTGTATGATAGGAACGCTGTAGGAAGTCCTAAAGGTAAGCATTAGGCGTTGTCCATGGACACCTGCACACCAGAGGAGTTACAAGTGCTTTCCCGGTCTTTTGAGAATAAGTAGTTTTGGGGATTAAGGACGGAGGGAGGGGTAGGATTGGGCCTCCAGTAACCTTACTCACATGAATGAGGTTACCGGCTCAATCTCTCCCCTAGGAAACTACCCAATAATAAATAAAAAACCAAGACAGATGAGGAAAAAAAAGGAAGGCTACACCAACTTTTGAGGGACGATATTGTGAAAGTACCAGGGCCACTGTGGAAAATAATATTTAAAGAATATTAGTAACTATTTAAAACACTTAAAAAGTATCGTAACAACAAAACCTTACTACCTACACAAGTAGAAACACGTAATAAATTAAAATAGACTGACATTACACAAACAAGCAAACACAAGCAAGACTAATTAATTGCAAACATTAAATTTTCTTTAAGTCGCGCTGTCGCGTTAATGAAACCACACCTTTATGTACCGGTCAGTTTATAAAAACAATTCGCGTCGCGGTTGATTCAGTTTCGCTGAGTGCTTCGTGAAGTGCGCGCGTGTTACAAAATGGCTGCCAACGTACCAATTATTCTGAACAACGGACGAACGTGCCCTATTTTGGGACTGGGAACTTGGAAAGTAAGTAATTAATAATTATTATGAAGTATTATAAACTTTTTTAAACATAAGCTTGTATCAGGTGTGTTAATAAGTGCCGGGATTAAAACAGTAAAGATATTTGTATGGATTTAGAGTGCCGTCATACCTATAGCTTAGCATACCGTAAAACAGGGTAAATGGATACCTACACGAAATGTGTGAATAGATGTTGGCGAATTTTCCAAGTATACAGGTTGTCCGGTAAAGAATGGATAACCTTGCAATACCTTTAAGTATATCTTATGGCCATTCAAAAATATACATAAGTACAAAAAAACACGAAAAAAAATATTTTATAAAAAACTTGCAAATTAATTTATTACGTATAGACAAATCGTGCAAAATTTATTTTTAAAGCAATGTTTAATCATCGTGGTTATGCAATAATGTAATGAACGTAAATGTTAAAGGATCATTTTGTATTACCTTTAGCCCCAGTTCATTTACTTCAAGACATAATAATTTAGGTGCTACCTATGTATATTTATTTTTATTTGACATTTTTATATTTATTTATTGACATTTTTATTATTTTATATTATTGTTAGTGTAAGGACCGCGTGAGACTTGCCGTGCTTTTTGATCACCAGTCATCTGCGTTCTTACAGTTTGAGTACTTGCGCGACCCACCCAAATGTTCTTTTGATCGGTATTGTTCGTCGGACAACTCAGCAGCACTAGCTATACTGGTTGCAAACTGACACTTGCGTGCCTGTCTTTTGAACGGGTCCACTTAAACTAGTGTGGTTCTTTCCTCAAAAGACCACTACAGAATGAACTTGCACGATTCTCTCACATTATGTTATTTTTACATTGTCTGGACTTGAAAAGAGACTGACCTCTGAGTTTGTTTCGGCATTTCTTCTCAGAGTAGTCAGATAGGAAATGCCGGCTTCATCTAGTTTTTCACATATAAATTGACGTGTAAAAGTGCCGTTTTATGGCCTATTTGCAAAAAATAAATTCATTGTTTCATTGTTTTATTGTATGATACCTACTTTCCTTTTCGTTGTTTTTTCTGAATGGCCAAAGGATATACTAAATGGCATTTCAAGGTTATCCATTCTATATATTCACCCCTCTTCTGAGTCTATTCATCCCGTATTACGAAGATCGAAAATTTGTGCTCTTAAATTTTGTTGCACTATTTCACTCCACAGACATACCTACCTACAAAGTGATTTTACACAGTTTAAAGACATTTTTATGTAGGTATTTATAGTGCTGTCATACAGCGTAGCTTTTATTTTATTGCAATGCAAACTGAACGTGTATTCCTACAGAATACGGTAGTTTCAAACTAGTCAAATTCAATACTTTTATCCAAACGTCAAAAACGATACTTTTCTATGAAATTTGTATGAAAATTTGAGTTATGACGTCTTAACATTTTTGCGTCAAATAGCTTACTTATTTCTTAATAATTGGCTACAAAAATCTAAAACTTAGTGTATCGATCGATCGATGAATAAAAGTGTAGTTATTTATCAACATTTTATTGTATTGAAACGTCGAATTAATTTATTTTTGACCTAGGAAACTACTTAATTACAGCTCAATCGGTTGAAGATATCCGATTCAATATTTAGTAGTACGATTCCAATTCCATTTGTCAATTTTACTTGTAGGTATAGGTAAGTACATATCAAAGTTGCGTTCGTTTTTTGCCAGTTTATAGGTAGGCAACAAGCAAAAAAATTACACAATTCATTCATTGACATTTTTAACGATAGATAGGTATTTATTTAAGACTGAACGAAATTAATAGGTAGGTAACGATAATATGGAACTATTTATTTCACTTCAAGTAGGGTGGCCTTAGTTCATTATTTTACCGTAGGTATTGTCAATTTTATTTATTATTTTTATTTATTTATACACTTTATACAAAAGAATGTACAGGCGGACTTAATGCTTTAGGCATTGTCTGACAGTCGACCTTCAGATGGTGGAGAGATGAGAGTGGCAGGTGACAAAAGTATATATAACAAAATTTTATGACTATATGAGAAATACATTACTTAGACAGTACCTATATATATAAACATATAATAAAAATATGAATATCATTGTACAAATAAACATCAGGTAGGGTATTCTATAATATACAATACTTAATATAACTATAAAGTATAAGTACATAAAATACATATACTACATAGAAATATATAAATAAAATAAAAATAAGTAGTTATGAGAGATTTGAATTCGCCAACTTTTTAAGAAGATGCTCACGCAATCTTGTTTTGAAAGACAAACGACTGGTTGCCATCCTAATCTCCGTGGGTAGTGCATTCCATAGCATTACAGACTGAATAAAGAAAGAAGAGTGAAGAAAGTCAGTGTGATGACTTATACATTGAAGGTGACGATTATTGGAAGAACGAAGATATTTAGTATGGTTTGCACTGGTGTATTGAAATTGATTGACATTTTTATGTAATAGGGTGGCTAAAGAGTTGACGTGTTACTTCATCATCAGCCTATAAGTGCCCACTGCTGAGCAAAGGCCTCTTCTCACACGGAGAAGGTTAGAGCATTAATCACCACGCTTGCTCAATGCGGGTTGGCGATTTCAAACTTGTAATTAGAAATTATAAGTCCAGGTTTCCTCACGATGTTTTCCTTCACCGTATGTCAGTGGTATCTAAATAATCATAGAAAGTACATATAGCTCGGAAAAGTCACATTGGTACTTGTCAGGTTTCGAGACCACACCCTCATGCATGAGAAGCGGGCTCCTTAACCTCCAGGCCACCACGACACTTTATTTCTATGTATCCTTATTTTAATATATATATATAAGAAGATATTTTAAGTCCAAGTTACTTTGGTTTTCCTTCACCATTCACTGGATAAATAAAACATTATTATTTTGTAAACAGGAAACATATATCTAAGTAGATATGTATCTCAAACTACGCTTAGATCTCTAACCTATGATACACAGTTAATCAAATATAGATAAAACTGAACTTCCGTCTTAAAATGTAATATTTATACATCACTAGCGACCCGCTCCGGCTTCGCACGCGAGCAATGCTGAGACTAATTTTCTCCACTATTTAATGGATGTTATCTATACTAATATTATAAAGAGGTAAAATTTGTAAGTTTGTATGTAGGGGGTAATCTTTGGAACCGCTAGTCGGATTCCCAAAATTCATTCACTTATTTATAGCTACAATGTTCCTGAGTGATATAGGCTATAAAACACCACGCTACTATTAAATGGAGCCGAGCAGCGAGTGAAACCGCGCGGGAGTAGCTAGTTATACATATAAACCTTGCTCTTCAATCACTCTATCTATTAAAAACCCGCATCACCCGAACAGAACCAGACCCGAGCGTAGGGTGCGTAGCGTTCCGCGCGCGCCTCAAAGAGCCAATAGACCACCACAGACGGGACCTTATAGGGCTGATGTTCAGCCGGGATTACTTCTGCATGCTTAATCATGTACCGCGGCCCTGGCTCGGAACAGGAGAAGGATCAGGGTGGTTTTTAGTCAGTAAGACTCTGACACTTCTTTTTGCCTAACCCAGTGCGCTAGTAGGTGTTGGAGAGCCAAGCTTCGGCACGAATGGGTCAAGTCGACCGGAGTGATACCACGGCCTCACAGAAAACTGGCGTGAAACAACCACAGCGTTGTGTTTCGCCGTGTGAGTAAGGTTACTGGAGGCCCAATCCTTCCCCTCTCCTGATCCCTCCCAATCCCTAAATCTCCAAAACCCTTATGCCTAAAAGGTCGGCAACGCACTCGTAACTCCTCCGTTGCGGGTGTCCATGGACGGCGCTGATTGCTTACCATCAGGTAATCCGTCTGCTCGTTTGCCGACTTATTACATAAAAAAAATGTTTACATAGTCTTTATGTATGTATGTTTGGATTGTAAACCACCCCATAAATTGGATATCGATGAGGCAAACCAAGGTGAAACTCATAAATGTCAAGGACGACTTCAAATTGACAACAAAAAAGGAACTCAATTTTTCTATCATTAAACTGTTATTTTCTTTGAACTTTGTATAACAATGAACAATTTTACCTATAATTTGATATTCCGAATTCAAATTTCATCATCAGCCTATAAGTGGCCAATGCTGACCAAAGGCCACACACGGAGAAGGTTTGAACATAAATCACTACGCTAGCTCAAGGAAAGAAGAAAGAAGAAAGAAAATACATTTATTCGGAATCAGACATGAAAGCCAGAAAAAAAAACAAAAAATATAACACAAAAAACAATAAAAAGGTTAAAAAGACAGAAAAACAAAAACACGCTAAATATACAGTATCATATACACAGTGTTGGCAGACAGCAGAACACACAGTGTTGACAGTGTTCTACAGGGTTGGCAGACATGTCTAAACCGAACGGGTCGCCAACTCAGCTAAAAGCTGGGCACACTGAGCACCCAACACTGATTTTCAGTTGGCACCCCTGCAGTGACGCACGGACGAAAGCAAAGCATAACGAGTACGTTCAGATTATAATATAAGAAAGAAATTAAATTAAATATAAATTATAAAAGCAAAGATCATGTTCAAATGAAGAAAAGATACATGGAAAAATAATACCAGAATATATCAAAAACAAACTAGGAAAAAAAAACATTTTGTAATATGAGGATATTATAATTGAAATGTACCGTGGGGTATTTGCAATATAAAACACCATGAAATCGCAGTAGTAAACTCAGAAGTTGTGGGTAATCAGGGTGTCACGTCGGTTACATACTGCTGCGCGGTTCAGCGCTCATTTGTCCGTGGATCCGTATACCCACGTCGCGATGTTATTGTGTGATTGAAAAAGGCGGATTAGCGAATTCGTAATTTTATTAAAAAAAATACTAGCTTCGGGCTTCTTAGGCGTGTTGATACAAAGCATGTATAAATCCAGGGTACCTATCTATATACTAAATTTTACCCAAATAAGTCCAGTTGTTTTTGTGTGAAAACAACTAACAACTAACAAATAACAAACACACATTTATAATTTTAGTAGGATAAGTCTGGGAGTGCTATTCTGTAAATGGTAAATCTCATCTCGAAATACATCTCGAAAGTCACACACCACTTCGCTTCTCATCTCGCCTGTACACAAACGTCAATATACTCACTTGTTTTAGGTCTTTCATTTCGTTATTCACATGGTGGCGCCAGTGTAGATTTCAGTCCATTTGAGAATACGAAACTTTAAATAAACATGATTTCACTGCGGATTCAGAAGTGATTTCGCAAATTAACTTTTGAGAATAGCATTATTGTCCTTCACCGTATGTCAGTGGTATCTTAATAATATAGTTTTAAGTGTGGAAGAGTCACGCTTCGGCACGAATGGTGGTGGAGTGATACCACGGCCTCACAGAAAACCGGAGTGAAACAACCACAGCGTTGTGTTTCGCCGTGTGAGTGAGGTTACCGGAGGCCCAATCCTTCCCATTCCCTGCCCAGTTCCTTAATCTCCAAATCCCTGAAAGGTCGGCAACGCACTCGTAACTCCTCCGTTGCACACACCCTCCATGATTGCTTACAATCAGGTTATCCGTAGGCTCGTTTGCCGACCTATTACATAAAAAACATCATAGCGAGTACATATAACTCCCAAAAGTCACATTAGTACTTGACAGGTTTCGAACACCCATCTTCTTGTATGAGAAGTGAGCCCCTATAGGGTTAGCACAAACAACTCAACATGATAGTCGTGTCTGTGTTTAAAGAAGTCACAAATACCCCCTGCAATTTTATCAAACAAGGTCAAACCCCCCTACAATAAGAAGGGAGGAATTGATGACCAGTAAGGTCAGGATAATGGTAGTAATTTAAGAATATTTGATTCATGGAATGTACAATTTGCTTTGAAACGACAAATATTGGAATATCCATTAGTTCTTTAAAGGTTAGGAATATTTTATGGGAATTTAAAATTGCACGTTGCATTTTTTATTCCAAAATTCTGAGTCATAATATTTCTTTATTTGGTTCTATGTTGAAAAATAGTAACCATGGAGTTTCTTGCTCGTTCTTCTCTATAGGAATTGACACTTTGGAACGAGCAAATAGCTTCATTAGAGGACAGACAATTTTATCTTAATTTTTTTTTATGGTATAGGTCTTAACAAACGAACAGAGGTATTACCTGATTGTAAGTAATCGGCTCCGCCCATGGAAACCCGGAACACCAAAGGAGTTACGAGTGCGTTGCCGGCCTTTTAGGGACCAAGGGTTTTGGCTATTTAATCCACAAAAAACCGCATCAAAATCCGTTGCGTAGTTTTAAAGATTTAAGCGTACATAGGGATATAGGGACAGAGAAAGCGACTTTGTTTTATACTATGTAGTGACGAAAAGAAAATTAAAAACTAAATACTATAACTAATATTATAGGTATGTATATCAATAAAATGATACCAACAATCAAAATAAAATACTCATAGATAATTTAACGATATATTATTTAGATCCAATCACATCCTTATCATTTTGATGTTATTTATCTTAACAGTATATCGTCAACAAGCGGCTCTGTACCTACTGCTTCACACGCTTTAATTCCTCTACTATTTAATAGATGTTATCCAAACTTAATATTATAAATTTGAAATATATGAATTTATTTAATATATGAAATATAAAATGTATTAAACAAAAGTGTGGGAGAGCCATGCTTCGGCACGAATGGGTCGGCTCGACCGGAGTGATACCACGACCTCACAGAAAACCGGCGTGAAACAACCACAGTGTTGTGTTTCGCCGTGTGAGTGAGGTTACCGGAGGCCCAATCCTTCCCCACCCGCAATCCCTCCTCAATCCCTAAATCTCCAAATCCCTAATCCCTAAAGGTCGGCAACGCGCTCGTAACTCGGTGTCCATGGGCGGCGCTGATTGCTTACCATCAGGTAATCCGTCTGCTCGTTTGCCGACCAACTACATAAAAAAAATAAGATTTTCAGAATACTGAAAGGCGTAGTCACACGTTACATACAATACCTACCGGTACTGCACTTTGACAACGAGCACTTTCAAATGATACTAAACACGGCATAGGTATTTATCTTAACATTATTTTTTTCTTTCTGTGTAATGTCAGCTAGAGGTCGCCACATTAGATTTTGTGATATCCCATATAGCCTATAACCAGCGGACAATTAAGACGTTTCTAATGATATGTCATTTGTCGAATTCTGATAAGAAGTTTAGAAGTTAGGAGGGAACAGATGAACATACATACTTACATAGCTTTGCTGTAGTCGGGTAAAAAAAATGGTGTAGATAGGTTACCTAAACAAAATTCGATTTTAAAAAACGACACACTGATACACACATGAACAATTCGTATGTTTAGACGTCAAAGTGAGATGGCATGATTCAATAATCGCAAGTGAAAAAGAGATGTCTACGCCGGAACGCATCATTCTTCGTCGTGTATGGAACGCATCCGTAGCGCGAGCGAGAGGTTCGAGCTGCGCGCCTTCCGGCCACTGCCATTCTAATAGTCGCGACGAAAACACACTCAATTATTGTAAACTTATATTATAATTAGCGATTAAAGAAGTACATCTGCAAAGGGATCTACTTATTTATATCGATCAAGAGACAAAATTAAATATGAAAAAGTGTGGCTAGTTAGCCACATTTTAATGTATCACTTGCTGAGCGCTTGTAACCTATCTACACCTTTTTACTTATAATATCATTGACTCATAGTGTGTTTTTAGTTTTTTTTTTATTAATATTTTTAAATGTTGTTTCCAGTCCAAACCTGGTGAGGTAGAACAAGCTGTGAAGGATGCTATTGATGCTGGATACAGACACATAGACTGCGCACACGTCTACATGAACGAAAAGGAGGTCGGACAGGCTTTGAAAGCGAAATTTGACGAGGGAGTTGTAAAAAGGTAAGAAATTAACTGTTTAATGACCAAAATCAAACACAAAAGTAACGAAACCGTAATGTATAATTTTCATTCTCTTGCATTTTAGTTCAAATTTTTTAACTAGATGGCGTTGCCGCGATTGAAAATGAGCTATGGTTTCGTTAAAAAGTTTTTTTTTATGTGATATGTTGGCAAACCAGCTTACGGATTACCTGATGACTGACGATAGAGTACAACCTTTTGGGGATTAGGGAGTTGGAGATTTTGGGATTGAGGAGGGATTAGGGGAGGGGAAGGATTGGGCCTTCGGTAACCTTACTCACACGAAAAACGCTGTGGTTTTTTCACTGATTTATATGTTTTAGTTTGTATAGAGTTCGGATCAAATCAAACTAGCGATGGACCGCGGGTCCGCCCGTGTGAATGATGATTTTACAATTTTTCAAGGTTTTTTTTTTAATTTTTCTCTACGTACCTTCTCTGGACTTCCACGAATAATTCAAGACCAAAATTAGCCAAAACGGTAAAGGCATTGTTGAGTTATAATATAACTTAGCGTTATCCGTCTGCTCGTTTGCCGACCTATTTCAAAAAAAAGAAAACATATTCCACCAACCTAAAACTAACTAGGATATATCGGTTTAGGATATTAACTAAATGTAAACAATCTTGGCATGTCTCTTTATATAAAAATTGTATGTAAAAATGTTTACAATCAGCTATTTACCTAAATCGATGTTAGCTAATAAACTGAATTTAAATAATCTTTGTATGTACTTTATACGAGCTCTTTAATATAAAAAGACATACCAACATTGTTTACCTTTAGTCAACCACCTAAATCGATCACCATAATTAGTATTTTCCGTTTTTATGTCTACTGTAATCGATTTTATGTGACATAAGCAATGTTGATAAAGACCTAATGAAAATCCCACGCGTCTGACGTGAAAAATGTGATTTGTTTGATAAGAAACATAGGTTATAATATCATAAGCTTTTATTTTTAATATTACTGGAAACAAGTATAGCAGCTCACACATAGGTTCCATTACAAAAACAATATAAAGTTTTTCATGGTGTTTGGTGACTGGGCTTCTCCCAGTAGTACAGTCTCTTCTGTGCCTTTAAGGCTTTAGTCATTCTGTCTCCTGCATAAAATTAACCGAGGGAAGTGGAAAGTATATAGATTTTTCTTCTCCTCAAATAATATCTTCTGATTTATTTCGTTGCGGGATCCAAGACAGTCATTCATGTCCCTGGGACGACTTCAGTGTTTCGGTGTTTTTATGGTAGTATCTGCTGTAGTTCCTGAGTAAAAAATATGTCGTGAAGTACTTATTTATAATCTTATTGAACACACAAAGAAACCTATAATTGGGTGGTTTCCTGGGTCACAAATAAATTAATTCGACGTTTCAATACAATAAAATATTGAAAAATAACTATACTTTTATTCATCGATCGATCGATACACTAAGTTTTAGATATTTTGTAGCTATTATTAAGAAATAAGTACTAAATGACGGACGTCAATAACTCAATTTTTCATACAAAATCATAGAAAAGTATCGTTTTTGACATTTGATTAAAAGTATTGAATTTGACTAGTTGGAAACTACCGTATTCTGTAAAAGAATATTATTCATAAAAATATTATATACATACACACAAAAACAGTTGCACAAATAAAATTACTTAAAATAAAAGTAGGTACTTTAACCTTTAATACAAAAAATTGCCACTCTAAAAATTTCTCCCCGATTTCAGGGAAGATATCTTTATAACATCGAAACTGTGGTGCACCTTCCACCGTCCGGATCTTGTAGAGGGCGCTATTAAGACCACGCTCACTAACCTGGGATTGGAGTATTTAGATTTGTATCTCATTCACTGGCCTCAAGCTTTTAAGGTAAGATTATAATTTCGAAATTCTTATTTTATTTAATTACTATCTGTAATATTAATAAAAGACTTGGATCTTGGTTACTTTTTTTTGTTTGTTTGTTTTTTTTGTTATATAAAAACGTTGCCCCACATTAGGATTTTCTCCTGTGTAGTGGGTGCGGTTACAAACATACAATTTCACATGCACATGACACCCAGACCCGGAACAACAATTTGTGGATCACACAAAGACTTGTTCCGTGCGGGAATCGAACCCGCGACACGTTGTACGGCAGCCAGTTGCCCAGCCACCGCACCAACCGTACAGTCAAACCATAGTAGACGATGACAATGACATTGACAGTTCTTAGTGTTACAATAATTAGTATGACTAATTACAAATGGCACAACACTGGCGACCTGCGCTTGCGCTTCGCAACGGGTGCAACGTTGATACTAAATTGCTCCACTATTTAATGGATGTTAGTGAGTTATGACATATAAACCTTCCTCTTCAATCACTCTTTTAAAAAAAACCGCATCAAAATCCGTTGCGTAGTTTTAAAGATTTAAGCGTACATAGGGATATAGGGACAGAGAAAGCGACTTTGTTTTATAGTAAATTTAGTATCAGCATTGATCCCTTGCGAAGCCGAGATGAGTCGCTAGTATATTTATATTATAATAATAATAAATATTACCTTTCGGAATTTTGAAATCAATCGACTGAGTTAAGCTTTTATCTTTTCTATTTGACTGTATAACTAACTAACTAACCATCTGAAACGCGGGTATTAACGCGGAAAATAATTATTTGAATACCTTGGTACGCTTGACGTTTCGACCTGGTTGCACAGGTCGTGGTCACAAGCAGACTGATTCCGCGTTACTACGAATATATGTTGTTAATATGAAACGCGAAAGTTTAAAAACACATGATGCCTGTAATCCTATATCACAAAATACCCGATTCTAAAAACATGACATGATTTTCCATTCTCATTTCTAGGAAGGTGAAGAGTTATTCCCATCGGGAGCTGATGGCAAAGTCATTCCTTCATCAGTAGACTACGTGGACACCTACAAGGAAATGGAGAAATTGGTGGAAAAGGGTCTGACGAGAAGCATTGGACTGTCGAACTTCAATAAGAAACAGATCGAAAGAGTTTTGGAGATTGCTTCGATAAAGCCAGCTATGTTGCAGGTATTGTTATATGATTATCAGAATTTAGTATTTAAGTGTGGGAGAGCCATGCTTCGGCACGAATGGGTCGTCTCGACCGGAGAGATACCACGGCCGCACAGAAAACCGGTGCGAAACAACCACAGTGTTGTGTTTCGCCGTGTGAGTGAGGTTACTGGAGGTCCAATCCTTTCACTTCCTCTATTCCTAAATCTCCGTAATCCTAATGACCAAAAGTCCGGTAGGTAATGCACTGGTAACTCCTTTGGTGTTGCGGGTTTCTATTGGCGGCGCTGATTGCTTATTAGGCGTAGACTCTGACAATCCTCCACACCCAAACCAGGAAGAAGAAATTTGATGATTTCCCCCAATTTGTTATGTTATTAATTCATCAAACCCCAAGCGAACGCCGGCGTTCGCACACCTACCGTTCTTCTATTGTGTCTCGGATAACTACAATTGAAAGCTTAATAACAAAAGGACTTTGTGTTACGTCACACACGTTAGAAGAACAGATAATATGGCGTATCTCAAACACAAGCCAAGTGTTGTAGTTTTTATCTAACTGTATTATGATAACAATAAAAGGAATCTTTATAATCTACACGTTTATATAATAGAGCTGAATAGGTTGTCTGTTTATTACGCGATAACCTCCGGAATTACTGGTTCGATTTTTAACTATTTTATTGTTAAAGTCTTCTCACAAGAGTTTCCTACTGTTTCGTGGATGTGTTTACAAACATACAATGTCACACCACATCCAGACTCACGGAACAACAATTTGTTGATCACACAAAGAATTGTTCCATGGCGTGCGCGGACCGTTTTTGGTGATCGCAACATTAAATTAATTATTATGTTTTCAGCTTACTCACGTAATAATTCGACGAGATACTCGACTAGTTTCAACTTTAAACTAGTCTTAGCTAGATTCAGATTCAGATTCAGATTTATCTAGGCTTGAAACTTTCAAGCCATGCTAGAATGGGCCTCTAGCATGGCTTGAAACTAGTCGAGTATCTCGTCAAATTATTACGTGAGTAAGCCGAAAACATAATAATTAATTTAGAATGTCTCACGAAAATTATAATAAAAATGAAACAATACAAAAAATACTCACAACAAACTTAGGACCACTACTGAAACTAACTGATTTATTGAAAATTACCTCTTACTCACGTGAATTAACTAAGAAAAGCTCGACTAGTTTCAAGTCACAACGGGGCTCTTATTCACGAGCTGCTTGAGATTCGCGGCGATGTCACGCAACCAACTGACTTCACAGTTTATTCACGTGACTAAGTCGTTATCCAAACTAATATTATAAATGCAAAAGTAACTCTGTCTGTCTGTCTTTTCTTCACGCCTAAACTACTGAACCGATTTCTGTGAAACTTGGTACAGACATTTTTATACCGAAAATCTTCAATAAATCACTATTCCACGCGAACGAAGTCGCGGGCAAAAGAAGGTGTCTAAATAAATTCTCTTTTTACAGATCGAAGTCCATCCATACCTGAATCAACAGAAACTGATCGATTTCTGCAAGCTCCATGACATCGCTATCACTGCGTACTCTCCTCTCGGATCTCCTGACAGACCCTGGGCCAAACCTGATGATGTTAAGCTCTTGGATGATCCAAGACTTAAAGCCATTGCTGATAAATATGGGAAGAGTACCGCTCAAGTTTTAATCAGGTTAGAAAATTTGTATTTTGCGAGTTTAGTTTTCAAGGTCAGTCAATTAAGTAAGTATAGATGACTGTGTTATGATGCGTTGGCTGAACAACCGGCTATGTGGGTTCCTTTTCCGTACGGATTAATAGTGTGTGTATTCCACAAATTGTTGTTCTCAGATCTGGTTGTCATTAGTACGTGAATTAGTATGTTGTGTTTTTGCATTTTTGTTCCGATATTCGTTGCCCAACTTTTGGATTTTCTTCTGTGTTGTGGATCAAATCAAATCAAATCAAATCAAATTTTTTTATTCGTCAAAGCAGGTGTACAGCACGTCGATTCTATAAAATTTGTTTGATTTAGAATCTTGTTCGAGTGCGAAGTGAGCGTCGAAGTGACCGAGTAATTACATTATAGAATGCCACTTTTAACGTCATCTCATACTTTATCTATCAAAATGTTGCTGTCAATTTAGTTCAACTCGCAAGTGTAGCGCTAGTGTACTACTACTCACAGCGGATTCAGATTCGAAGTTTAGAATGAAGTCTTACAAAATCACACCCCAGTACAAAAGGTGTTAGAGTTACAGGAAGTTCGCTACATTGTGCCGGTGGGCATACGAAAATTATATTAAACGAGAATTACTTATATTCTATTGACATACTTTGTTATTAATTTTAATTAACCTATTATTATGTATATAATACTATCACATCACATATATAATATTATTTAATTCCATCACTTATATCTATTAATTGCTTCCTTTATATAGTGTCTTTTTTAATTTATATTAATGTGGATGCGCTTATAAACATACAATTTCACATACACATCACACAAAGACTCGAATTTTGGCTATCTGTTTTGCTTTTGGCTCGACATCGAAACCGCGAAACGTTGCATGGCAGCCAGTTGCCCAGACACCACGTCAGCTGTGCAGTCTATAAAAGCGCTTACGTCAAAGTCTAAAATACTGGCGTAGAGCATTAAAAAAACATAAATTATAATGATTAATCTTTCTACCCCTCAGATACGCCATCGACCGTGGCCTCGTGGTCATCCCAAAATCCGTCACCAAGACCCGTATCATCCAGAACTTCAGTGTATTTGACTTCCAACTGACTCTCGATGATATAATGGAGATATCGTTCCTCGAATGCAACGGCAGAGTATGTTCTATGGGAGAGTAAGTATTCTATTATTTACTTTATCTATACTTATCTGTCGGATCACCTCGTTTCGAATACGATCCTTCAGAGAGACTCCAAGCATAGCCCTTTCCATAGCTCGCTGCGCGACTTTAAATTGGCGGATCAGTCGCACTGTAAGTGTCCACGTCTCGGCTCCGTATGTCATCACTGGTACTTGGTAGGACGCACTCATTGGAGACTTTTGTCTTTAGGCTTTGCGGTATCTTTGACGAGAATACCCGACGTGTTCTAGATTGGAGACCACGTCTAGGCAAACGTAGTGTAGGGCGCCCTCCAGCTAGGTGGACTGACGATATCCGTAAGGCTGGCAGTGGTTGAATGAGAAGAGCTGAACATCGAGCTCAGTGGCTATTGGAGAGGCCTATGTCCAGCAGTGGACGACAACAGGCTGATGATGATGATACTTATCTATACTTCTATAGTATTAATATTATAAAGAGGCAAAATTTGTAATTTTGTATGTAGGGGGTAATCTTTGGAACCGCTGGTCGGGATTGGCAAAATTCTTTCACTGATAGATAGCTACAATGTTCCTGAGTGCTATACTTATATATAAACATCACGCTACGATCAAATGAAGCAGCGGGTGAATCCGCGCGACAAAAGCTAGTATTAAATAAAATGTTGTCACGTTTATCATCAGAACAGCTAAGGAGTGGAATTCTTTGCCGGAGTCTGTGTTCCTCGAAGGGTATAACCTGGGTATCTTCAAGGCCCGAGTGAATAGGTTGCTTAAGGATAGGCGTGCTCCATCGTAGGTCGCATCGCTTAAAGCCGGGAGCAATAGAGGTCAAAGCCAATGCAAATAAAAAATAATGCCAACACTACCACTGGTCGACTAGACACTCTCAATATTACATAACATTTTATTACATTTTTTTAAAGGCCATTATGCCGCTATCTTGCTTAGTGGTTAGGATACGGCTTATGATGGAGCACGCCTACCCATAACTTATTCACGAGGGCCGCGCTGAGGACATTCGCTCCACATCCAATAAAATGATTAAAAATGAAAAAACAAATGACAAATAAATAATTTATTTTCCATTTTGTTTCAGCACACATCATCCAGACTATCCATTCCATGACGAATACTAAAGATCAGAAGCCTGGGCTGGAAATCTCATTAATGGTAAAGAAAAAAGTTGGTCGTTAAGTCAGAAATTAAGTTAACTGATTTTAAACTTTTATATTATAAGTGAAACAAAATGCTACGATCCTGTTAAAGAAATTCACGACTTAATGACAGATTTTTTCGTTATCAATATTGGGACTCAGAAAAGCATTCCTAATTTATTATTATTTGCTTAAGATTTTATGCATTTTTGTGATATTATGTAATGTAATAAGAATTATGACACTTTATAGGCACTAAATAACGCACAGTGTGTGGTTTGAATTTCATATAAACACGTTTTGTGAACAAAACTGTTCACTTTAATAATTTACTGTTGGTAACACTTAAATATTTTTCATCATAGGTACTTAACTGTTGTTTTATCAAAATCCCACAAATAAATACAGTTAAGAGTGTTAAAATTAATAGTATCACAGTTTTAAAAATTATTTTGTTAATTTAATTGTCAATAAAATTTTATTAAAAAATAACTGTGTTGTTTTAATTATTAGGTATTCGCTATGTGCGAAGTGGGTGGTGGGGAACAGCAAATCGATCGCAGCGCACGACGTGGCAGAAATGTGAATTAATTCTGGACTGTCATGTGTCAAATTGCTTTATTTTCATTACTTCCTGTATAATTTTAAGTAAAAACGTAAAAATTTGCGATGTGGTTCATAGTACATGCTGTGTCATAAATTGTAAAAACAATGGGAAACAGTTCGTGCAAGTTTTATTCGTTTCCAACATCAAAGTGGTCGTTACAGCAAAGACAAAAATGGATAGCTGCTGTGAAGAGAATTAAAATTCAAATCCCGTACATACATATTATTAATATCCATATTATATACACACTCACTTTTTACACAATTTTTTTCAATTTCGTTGTAAAACTAGTCGAAAATCAATATCACAAAAATATCTTATCATCTAGTTGACATGATTTGACAGATGACAAGTCCTGAATAGTTGCGGCCACTAGGGGCGCTGTCATCGTGCACACAACGAAAGATGTTAATTCATATTGACGTAGCATCAAAAACACATTTTTAAACCCTACATTGGTACTTATTATTTACCTACTTCGTGAACTTAGCATTATTTGTTATTTTGTTTTATACCCGCGACTCAGTTCGCGTGAAATAGTAACTTCCTGCCATAGAGAACTAAACCACTATGCTTCCTGCCGATTATTGGTACCTATAAAAGTCCTATGTCCTTTCTCGAGTTCCAAACTATGTCTGTACCACATTTTACAGAAACCGGTTCTGTAGCTTAGGCGTGAAGAAAAGACAGACAGAGTCACTTTCGCATTTATAATATAGTATAGATAGTATACATTTCAAACTTCTGTACTATACATATATGGAGGATACGAAAAAAACGCGTACCTATTAACACATAATTCTCGAAACAATCAATAAAATATGACATAATGGAGTTTCTTGCTCGTTCTTCTCCATTCGAATTTACACTTTGGAACAAGCACCTAGCTTCACTGACGAACAGACTGACTGACTTATTCTATTTAGACGTTATAAAAGTATCTATCTATATAGTTTATTTGAAAAAAATCATTTTGACTTTAAACACCAACACGTAGGTATCTTTAATTTTCCCCAATAACCAAAGAAAATTTCGCAAAAACATTGGTAGTTTCAATCTGCATCTGGCAACACTGCAACTGTCAAAAGAGGTATATCTCAGTATATATTGTATAGTCTATGGAGGTATACTCGACAGTCGATATTGTAGATATTTTAGCAAAAACAATTCTTTTCGTAAAATGTTTGGCGATAATAAAGACAATTTATTTTGTAGATTATGTTTTTTTTAAATAACATTAATTTACTTCCATTGTTCGATGGGACAACGGAAGATGGCGATTTCAGCGAATTGTTGTATCTTACCACCGGCGACACAGTTAGTTTATTATTGTTTAGGTACTAGCGACCCGCTACTGCTTCGCACGTGTGCAATGCTGATACTAAATTCCTCACTATTTAATGGATGTTATTATACATATAAACCTTCCTCTTCAATTGCTCTGTCTATTCAATAAACCGCATCGGTGGCTTGGCAATCGCCGTGCAACGTGTCGCGGGTTCGATTCCCGCACGGAACAACTCTTTATGTAATCCACAAATTTTTGTTCCGTGAGGCTGGGTGTGATGTGAATGTGAATAATTATGTGTCTTTGTAAACACACCCACGACACAGGAGAAAATCCTAGCGTGGTGCAACGTCTTTAAACATAAAAGATTTTAATGAGTATACATAGGCATATAGGGACAGAAAAAACGACTTTGTTTTATACTATGTAGTGATTTAATAATTTCATAGTACAATGTTCACACATTTTTATTAAAAGTAATTAAAATCCTTTTTTCAGTATATCTCCTCTTCTTTAATACGGACCTGAAAGACAAAAAGTTTATTGTCAATTTCGCATTAAAAAAACAGAATAAATTAATTAAAAAATATCCTTAGAAAAACCGTAACGCAAAAATTAATGAAATGGAAAATATTATATCTAAAAAATCTAACTAAATGTGCGATCCTTCAAAAATAAATATGTATTAAATTGGAATATTTTAAGTGTGGGAGAGCCAAGCTTCGGGACGAATGGGTCGGCTCGACCGGAGTAATAACACGGCCTCACAGAAAACTGGCGTGAAACTACCACAGCGTTGTGTCTCGCCGTGTGAGTGAGGTTACCGGAGGCCCAATCCCTCCCCCTCCCTCCATCTATGGATGGTTTCAGAGGGTTTCAGATATTTAAGGATTGGATATGTTCAATCCTTAAATATCTAAAACCCTCTCCTCAAAGACCGGTAACGCACTCGTGACTCCTTTGGTGCTGCGGGTGTCCAAGGGCGGAGCCGATTGCTTACCATCAGGTAATCCGTCTGCTCGTTTGCCGACCTATACCATAAAAAATATTTTTTTTTCAACACACTTCCTCATAAAGTTGCTTAAATCCCACGGCAATTAGGCACGTAATGACACCTGTTTATAATCAAACTGTGAGCTTTTTCATTACTATTATTCACTAGTGAGTTTTTTTTAATTATTGGTTGAGTTACGCTTATAACTTGCGCTAAAACACTATCCGCGAAAAGCTCTAAAAAAGAAACTTCATTTTTTAGTCTATGGCCGATGCGCGCGCAGTGTAAAACTGATTAATTTTTCCCGCCATTACGAAACATTTTTCGCAACTCGTCTTGTTTTCTATTTAAGTATTATTTTATTTGGAAGTGTGTTGAGAAACGTTGTATGATACATGTGTGTATTGATGATTACCGTCCTTGGTTCCTTAAGACCCTGGCCTGACGATTCGGGCCTCAATGCGCCTCAGCGGTATTCACCAAGATTACTTTATTATTAATCTATACTAATATTATAAAGAGGTACAATTTGTAAGTTTGTATGTAGGGGGTAATCTTTGGAACCGCTGCCCGGATTGCCAAAATTCTTTCACTGATAGATAGCTGCAATGTTCCTGAGTGCTATAGGCTTAAAACATCACGCTACAATTAAATGGAGCCGAGCAGCGGGTGAAACCGCGCGAGAGTAGATAGTATATAATAAAGTGGTTTCGGCCTAAAGCAGGAGTAGGGGCGGGGTGGTTTTTAGCCAGTAAGAGTCTGACACTCCCTCTCTTCTCTGGGCGAGAGAAGAAAAAGTGATAGATATTAACTAGAAATACCTGGAACTGTGTCAATGCCGCAAGGTCCACACTGAAACAAAATTAAATTTTACATTAAGTATTAATAATATTACTAGCTTTTGTTCGCGACTCCGTTCGCGTGGAATAGTTACTTCGTGCAGATTTAAGGTATAAAAGTTATCCTATGTCCTTATTATATTAGTTTGGGTTTTTTTCACACAAACTGTCATGTCCGAAATCATGGAAACGAGTGAACAGATTTCGATGAAACTCGGCAGGTACTTAAACGCAATATATTAACTACTTACAACTTTATTAAAAAACATTTTTGACAAAAGATTTAAGAAGAGAAAGAAAAGTCAATTTCAATACTTTTATCCAAACGTTAAAAACGATTCTTTTCTATAAAATTGTTACTTATTTCAAATGACTTACTTATTTCTTAAAAATTCGCTACAAAATATCTAAAACTTAGTGCATCGGTCGATCGATGAATTAAAGTTACATTTTTCAAAATTTTATTACAGAATACCGGCGTGAAATAACCACGGCCTTGTGTTTCGTTGTAAGGTTACCGGAGGCCCAATCCTTCCCCTCCCCCAATCCAAAAATCTCCTTATCCCCAAAAAGATCGGCAACGCACTTGTAACCTCTCCGTCGTTGTCGATGGACGTCGCTGATTGATTACCATCAGGTAATCCGTCTGCTCGGTGCCGTCATGGCATAAAAAGAAGAAAAGTTTAAATATATCTTACCGGATTATGCGGCACGTCGAAATCGATCTGGTATATTAAGGCATCCCCATCGATCATTACGTGTGAAATCCTCTCTATCGGGATCCGGTGGGAGAAGTCACAAATTTCGCTTCCGTTCAAGAACGCCTGGGGGCAATAGTGAAATTAGCACATTATTAGAAACTCGAAACGCTTTAAAGAAATATTACAAACGCAATAATTACCGCGTTTGCGATATAGATGGCGTGGTGTACTCACTGACTCAATCGACAAAAATATAAGGAACCACCAACTGCTTGTATAAGGAATCTGTATGTGAAACTGATTTAAAAAGAGTAACCATGGAGTTTCTTGCTCGTTCTTCTCCATACGAATCTACACTTTAGAACGAGCAAATAGCTTCACTAAGAGGACTGACCGACAGACTGACACTATATCTTCAAAATTTTGTTTGACGTTCAAAAGTGCCTGTAAGGGTCTAATTGGAATAAATGATTTTTGACTTAGACAACAGATGGCGTAACAAATTCTGTATCGCGCAAGTGAAGTTTGCACGCGAATAAACACGTATAGAAAATCTGCAAAAGAAAACTGTTGGGCAGTAGCCCGCCATGCACGATCACCTCGTCTGCTCGGAGGATCCTAAAATAATTTATAGAATCAGGTGTTATAACTTTGCGGAAATCCATACCTTATATGTTAGAAAAAATATTTAGTTTTAATTCCGCGACAAAAACTCTAGTCTTTTTGCAGGATGCAATCACGCCATAGCCTTCTTCGATAAATGGCCTAACAAACACAAAAAGAATTTTCCAATTCGAACCAGTAATTCCGGAGATTGGCGCGTTCTAACAAACTCTATAGCTTTATGGTATTAAGTATCGATACTAACTTTTAAACTTAATATAATTACGCGGGTATTAACGCGAAAATGAAAATCTTTCGCCCGAATGCAGGGAGCTGTGACATCGCTTCTTCAGTCTGTTTGTGACCACGACCTGTGCAACCGGGTCGAAACGTCATGCGTACCAGGGTATTTCAATAAATATTATTCGCGTTAATACCCCGCGTAATTATAGATAACGGAAAGTCTAAAAACGTTGGTATGTGAAAGGTATATGGTATCTGGTTTTGAGGTACGGTAAGGTATTCGGTGGTAACGGTAAGGTAAATATGGTACATGGTTTTGAATATGGTATTGGTAGGTATGTAGTCGTGAGCAGTGACATCGCTTCTTCAGTCTGCTTGTGACCACGACCTGTGCAGGTCTAACCGTCATGCCTAACAAGGTATTTCAATAATATTATTCGCGTTAATACCCCGCGTTATTATAGATAACGGAATGTCTAAAAATGTTGGTATGTGAAAGGTATATGGTATCTGGTTTTGAGGTATGGTAAGGTATTTGGTGGTATCGGTAAGGTAAATATATAAGGTAAATATGGTACATGGTTTTGAATATGGTATTGGTAGGTATCGAGTCGTGAGGGGCGGCTACAATATTAATGTAGATTTAAAAAATATTCAGGATACAACTTACCTTAAAGGCATGCTCATAACAATGAATGAAGACTTCGAAAGGCTCTCCACTGCTCAGTGGCAGGGGTCCCTGTGTCTCCTCAGGTCCCCAGCCTGAGCAAGTGAAGTGGTTGCGAACAACTGCCTTCTGGCAGAATCGAGGGTTGAAATGGAAGGCAATATCTTCGTGAGGATACAATTTCGGACCACACTGAATGTTTATCGCGAACCTGGGGGGGAAATAGTTGGGTAAAACATCATCATCGAAGTCATCAGCTAATTTCTTTTCATGTGGCTTAAGTCATTGAGAGAGACTGGTTGGTGCGTCAGTTAGGTAACTGGCTGCCGCGCAACGTGTCGCGGGTTCGATTCCCGCACGGAACAACACTTTGTGTGATTGTTAAAGCACCCACTACACAGGAGTAAATCCAAGTGTGAGGCGACGTTTTTTATAAAAAGAAAAGAAAAAATAACTATTTCGTTTTTTCTTCTCCTCAAATAATATCTTTAGATTTATTTCGTTGCGGGATCCAAGACAGTCATTCATGTCCTCAGGACGCGCTGGACTTCAGTGTTCCGGTGTTTTCACGGTTGTATCTACTGTAGATCCTGGTGACTTTTTCACGGTTTGGGATTTAAGGTTTAAGAATTTTTGAATAAAGAAAAGCTTTGGGCTTCTGGTAATCTCACTCACACGGCAAACCATAACGCAAGCTTTATTTCACAGCGGGTGTCTTGTAAGGCCACTGTAGCGACATCTATCGCACAACAATAACAACAGCACCAATCACGTGCAAGATTCTACATCGCGCTATAAGAGTTGTCAACACAATTAGATCCATAAGTGTGGGAGAGCAAAGCTTCGGCACGAATGAGTCGGCTCGACCGGAGTGATACCACGGCCTCACAGAATACCGGCGTGAAACAACCCACAGTGTTGTGTTTCGCCGTGAGAGTGAGGTTACCGGAGGCCCAATCCCTTCCCTTCCCCTATCCCTTCCCGATCCTTATATCCGCAACCCCTATCCCCAAAAGACCGGCAACGCACTCGTAACTCCTTTGGTGTTGCTAATGTCCATGGGCGGCGCCGATTGCTTACCATCAGGTAATCCGTTTGCTCGTTTGCCGACATATATCATACATACTTATACCAAAAAAAAAAAACCGATACAAAAATCCCGACAACAACCGTCGGGGCAGTAGCCCACCAGACACAACACCCGTCTGGTCGGAGGATCCTCCCTTTTCAATGGGGGATGAGGAACTTTACTCCCTGTTCTCTCATACCTCTCAACCACTTCCACTCCGGTCGAGAGGAACCCACCCGTGCCGAAGCATCATACACATTCATCACCTCTGGTATTACGGTTGTCCATGGAGCTGTTTGCTTACCATCAGGTAATCCGTCTGCCCGTTGAATATAAACTAACCTCTTTACCCCGCAAGGGGTTACTCCTTTGACTCTCATTGTGCGACCAGGGCGCATGTCACCAGGGATAGGAACCACGCAAGGTATCATCTGTAATGGTATAAAAATAAGGGTATAATTTAGACAGCCAATTTTTGTTTAAGACTCTGAGCTGAGACTGCTTGTTACCTAAATAACTCCAAAAAACCAATTTACTTTTTTAAAAGAGATCTAAAGTATACTACTATGGCTACGGCCGCCCGCGGCTAGACCAGCGTTGATGTCGATTTAACAATTTTTCAAAATATTTTTTTCGTTTTCTCTATAAAAACACCTTTTCTGGACTTTCACGAATAATTCAAGAGCAAAATTAGCCAAATCGATAAAAGCATTGTTGAGTTATAACATTACTTACAACGAAAAGTGGCATTGATTTTTATAAACAGACTAGCTGTTACCCGCGACGTCGCGATATATTATTATAAGTCCAGGTTTCCTCACGATGTTTACCTTCACCGTATGTCAGTGGTGTCTAAATTATCATAGAAAGTACATATATTCCGAAAAGTCACATTGGTACTTGCCATGTTTCGAACCCACACCCTCATGCATGAGAAGCGGGCTCCTTAACGACGACACACTCTTAGCACGACTTTTATTTATGGCTTATCACCAGGTAGGTGATGTTAATCAAAAACTCAAAAAATGTACTTACCAATTTCGGGTCCTGTGGAGGGTTGAGCCCCTCGAAGCTGATCTGATGAATGGTGACATCACCATCCACCATAATGTGGGTGATTTTTTGGAAGTCGATACGGTGGTTGAATTCGCAAGCAAATATTCCGTTGACCTCCACCTGAGCAAAGTCGAAGTAAAATAATTTATATCAATTAATTGTGGGAGAGCCATGCTTCGGCACGAATGGGTCGGTTCCACCGAAATTATACCACGGCCTTACTGAAAACCGACGATGTGTTTGAGGTAACCGAAGGCTCAGTAACTACCGAATCCCAAAATCTCCAAATCCCCAAAAGGTCGGCAACGCACTCGTAACTCCTCTGTTAAAGGTGTCCATGGGCGGCGCTGATTGCTTGCCACCAGGTAATCCGTCAGCTAGTTTGCCGACGTATCACATACAAAAAACCGAAACAGGTTAAGCTCACCTTAAAATTGTAATAGTAGCAATGGATAAGAACTTCGAAGCATTCTCCAGCTTTCATCGGCACCCCATTGCTAACCTCCTCAGTTCCCCAGCCGGAGCAGGCAAAATGGTTGCGAACCAAAGTATTCTGAACGAAGCGAGGGTTGAAGTGGAACGCTATGTCCTCACCAGGGTGCATTTTGGGACCACATTGTAAGTTTATCGCGAATCTGAGAACAAATGATGGAGAACAGATTATTAAAACCCTTTGGGTAGTTTTCTTTTATGTGAAAGGGTGGCATACGATCATGCGGATTCCCTGATGGTAAGCAATCAGTGCCGCCCATGGACACCCGCAACACCAAAGGAGTACCTAATGGGTGCGTTGCCGGCCTTTTGGGGATAGAGGTTGCGGATATAAGGATCGGGAAGGGATAGGAGAAGGGGCGGGATTGGGCCTCCGGTAACCTCACTCACACGGCGAAACACAACGCTGTGGTTATTTCACGCCGATTTTGTGTAAGGCCGTGGTATCACTCCGGTCGAGCCGACCCATTCGTGTCGAAGCATGGCTCTGCCACACTAGCTTATGCTCTTTTATGTCTTTCTTTTATGTGATAGGCCGGCAAACGAGCTAGTGGATTCGCTGATGGTAAGCCATCAGTGCCGCTCATTTAGATTTGCAACAACAGAGAAGTTAAGACTGTATTGCCAGTACTTTGAGGAAGAATTTTAGAGATGTAGGGATTGGAGGAGGAGAAGGGAATCTTAAAAATTTTGTTTGACGTTTATAAGTAGGTACCTGTATGGGTCAAATTGAAATAAATAATTTTGACTTTTTGTGTCATGTTGTGTTCCGCCGTGTGAGTGAGGTTATCGGAGGCCCAATCCTTCCCCTCCCCCAATCCCAAATCCCCAAAAGGTAGGCAACGCACGTAACTCTTCTGTTGTTGCAGATATCTATGGGCTGCGTTGATTACTTACCATCAGGTAATTTAGAACTTATCACATCAAAAAAGAACTTGCCTTGGTGAACAGTTCGGGACTTGACCTTTCACCTTGATAATGCGACCGGGATATATACCCGGTGAAGGAATCTGGAACGAACCAGGAATAGTCTGGAAAGAAAGAAAAAATTATGAATGCTTCATTGGTATAATACCGCGTATTTATTGAGTTTCTTGCTCGTTCTTCTCCATTCGAATCTACAATTTGGAACGAGCATCTAGCTTCACTGACGAACAGACTGACAGACTACTATTCTATTTTGACGTTACAAAAGTACCTATTTATGGTTTAGTTGGAATAAATGATTTTGGGTTTTCACTTTTAAGGACATTTACCACTCGACAAATGTGGAAATTTTGGTATAGACATAGTTTGGAATCCGAGAAAGGACATAGGATAGTTTTAGGATAGTTTTTATACCAACATTCTGCAGGAAGTCACTACACGACAAAACATAAAAGCACTCTCCATGGTATTAAAAAGCGTTAGGAATCATGCACAGAGGCAAAGAATCCAGCCACTCGGAAACTGTTATCTATTTGCAAAAATAAAAGTAATTTTAATCACGTAATTGCACAAATAATCTTGCCGAATGACCTTCATTACTTATAAATTGCAGCATTATCTTTGTCTTATTTAAAAATATCTTCATTAATCTAGCTGCAACTCCAGAATGGACGAACCGATTTCGCTAATTTTAGTATTATAATATTTATGACATTAAAATTACTAAGATTAGGCTAAGGAGCCCGCTTCTCACGCATGAGGTTTTTTTTTTGTAAGGGGAAAATCATCAAATCACTTCTCCCGCCCAGGGCCGGTCAGGAGGGAGTGTCAGACTCTTACTGACTAAAAACCCCCCTGTTCCTTCTCCTGCTCTGTGCCGAGGTCGCGGTGCCTCATTGCGCTTACCCCGCAACCCCGGCTGAACATCAGCCCTTTAGGGCCCCATCTGTGGTGGTCTAATGCCTCTTTGAGGCGCGCGCGGAACGCTACGCGCCGTACGCTCGGGCCTGGTTCTGGTCGGGCGGCGAGCTGCCCTTACTCGCCGACCGCAGGCCCGTGCTTACGGTGGCCGGAGATCGTCCCTTGATCCCCGACGCCCGTAGTGTCGCCAGTTGCGGCTGCTGGGGCGTGAGGAGGAGGATTGCTCCCTCACGCGGGCCGCCTCTCTCTTTGCGAGCATGACTACTTCACAAAAGGAGTCATGCATGAGGGTGCGAGTTCGAAACCTGACAAGTACCAATGTGACTTTTTCCGAGTTATATGTACTTTCTATGATTATTTAGACACCACTGACATCAAACATCGTGAGGAAACCTGGACTTATAATTTCTTATTATAAGTTTGAAATCGCCAACCAAAATTGAGCAAGCGTGGTGATTAATGCTCAAACCTTCTCCGTACGAGAAAAGGCCTTTGCTCAGCAGTGGGCACTTATAGGCTGATGATGATGATGATGATGAATATTTATGAAAATGTCAGAAAAGAAAACAATCGTCTTTTCTTCGCGACTTCGTCCCGCACAAACTCGTATATTTAAAAATGTATAATAATTTGATATTGAACTGGACATTAATCCCACATATTTAAACTTTTTAAAGAGGCACGGAGTTAACGAGGTCGGCTGGCATCAAAATAAAACAACCTTTAAATATGGGAGAGCTATGTTTCGGCACGAATGTGTCGGCTCGACCGGAGTAATACCAAGGCCTTTCGCCGTGTGAGTGAAATTACAGAAGGGCCAATGCTTCTTCATAACAATCCCTTAAACCCAACCCACAAAACGCAATTGCAACGCATTTGTTCTCGAGCGAAACGAGCAGACGGATTACCTGATGGTAAGCAATCGGCGCCGCCAATGGACACCCGCAACACCAAATGAGTTACGAGTGCGCTGCCGATTTTGGGGATAAGGGTTTCGGGAGATTTAAGGATTGGGAATGGATTGAGGATTGGGCCTCCAGTAACCTCACTCACACGGCGAAACACAACGCTGTGGTTATTTCACGCCGGTTTTCAGTGAGGCCTTGGTATCAATCCGGTCGAGCCGACCCATTCGTGTCGAAGCTTGGATCTCTCATACTATTTAAAAAATAAATAACTTACCGGATTGCAGATTGTCGACATTATTATTTCCTCGATGTTATTTCTTTATCTTAATAATTAAATAACACTTGATTACTGACGACCGCTTAGTTCGGCTCACAAACAACGAATGCAGGTAATCAAAGACAGCTCCCTAACTTTATTTATTTTATACACAATTTCCAATTTGTAAAACCACTGAAGTTCAGACGATCATGAGGAAAAAATTGTACGTTAATTTTTATTTACGATGCATAACGGTAGGTTTTTGCATGTCATTAGTTTACTAATGGTTCCGCAGGATAAAAACGGGAGACCTATTTCAAAGATATATTAAGTGTGGGAGAGCCATGCTTTGGCACGGCCAGCCGGTCGGCTCGATCGGAGTCATACCACGGCCTCACAGAAAACCGGCGTGAAACAACCACAGCGTTGTGTTTCACCGTGAGAGTGATACCAGGGGCCCGAGTCTACTATTTTCAAAGTGTTGTCATTCCGACATGATTCCATTGTCATTTTGCTAAAAGTTCGTAATCTGTTAATTTAAAATGGCTGATCATTGGCGTTCGGCGATGTCGTAATAGAATTATAGTACGAGATGTCTTGCAACGAATTATAAACAATAACTCCACATTAATATTCTAAACGTAATACATTGAATAAAGGAACTGATTTTTTTTATTAATTTACCGCATTATGTCAAATATTCATTTGTCATTATGTACGAGATTACCGTTCTAAAGAATTATTTCAATGAAGTGACATTGGAAAGTCATAATGACGCTATCGTGTTAGTAGATTACCAAACTTGTCGAAATCAACAATTTTGAAACCAATGATCTACTATTCTGACACTATAGTAATAGCAGACTCGAGGCCCGAGGCTAAATCTTTCCTAATCCTTAAATCTCCAAATTCTCTTATCCCCAGAAGGTCGGCAACGCACTCGTAACTCCTCTGTTACGGGTGTCCATGGGCGGCGCTGATTGCTTACCATCAGGTAATCCGTCTCCTCGTTTGCCGGTCTATTAGGAACATAAAAAAAAGATTTTGTTGACTGTTTGTCTAATTGGAGACCACGTCTAGGCAAACGTAGTGTAGGGCGCCCTCCAGCTAGGTGGACTGACGACATCCGTAAGGTTGGCAGTGGTTGGATGAGAGAAGCTGAACATCGAGCTCAGTGACGGGTTATTGGAGAGGCCTATGTATGTCCAGCAGTGGACGATATCAGACTGCTAATGATAAGTCGCTTTATAGAGAAAATCATCACTCTACGATCGTTGGGCGCCGAATCGCAAACAAAACCGGGCGCAAGCAATTAGTATTAAGTTAAATATTTTCGTTTAAGGAAAAATATTAGAACAAAACACTATTTTATTAATACCAGGCAGTACGAAAATAGCGCTCTCGGGAAAACCATTTTAATAAATAAATTCAATTATTGAAAAACATTTAACCTATACCTAAAATTTAACTACTTATCCATGTTTTGGCACAACTGGAGTGATACCACGGCCTTACTGATAACCGGCGTGATAAAATCACAGCGTTCAGCCGAGGTCACGGGTCAAGCGCAATTTTACCTACCTTTTTTGTATTAAAGGTGACTTACGTGTGAGTATTCTTAGACATGTTTGACGAAAATCGGTTGAGCCGTTTAGAAGTTATGGGGGTTAACGTGGGGAAGAAAAACCGAATGTCAGCAAATATACTCGAGTGGGGTATCAAATGAAAGCGCACTGAAAGGAAATTTTGATGACGTAATCGACAGAAAATGGTATAAAATGCCTATTAAAAGTATAAAATAAAATAAAAAATTAGACCCCCGACAAAATAGAAATATGTAGTAGATAATAAAATATTTGGATCGGCCCCCAACGCCACGATTTCTTTTAATTATTACTTTTTAAAGGAATATTAGATTCTTTAGAGGGGTGTTATAAGTTTGACGTGTCTGTCTGTCTGTGGCATCATAGCTTCTGAACGCATGAACTGATTTCAATTTAGTTATTTTTGTATTACAGGTGTTTTACGGGCGAGTGTTCTTAGACATGTTTGACGAAAATCGGTTGAGCCTTATAAATGTTATGGGGGTTAAAGTGGGGGAGGAAAACCCAATGTCTGCAAATATGCTCAAGTGGGGTATCAAATGAAAGGTTATGAATTGTACGTCACAAAAAACACATCAAACTTTAATAAGTTTGACGTGTCTGTCTGTGTGTCTGTAGCATCATAGCTCCTGACAGGAACGGATGAAACGACATCAGTTTTTTTTTTCTGTAATAAACATATATACTTTTTTAAAGGTAGCTTTATGTTTTTTGTGACGGGGTTTTATTTTTAATTTTTTTATTATTTTGAATTAGACCGTAACCCCCTAAAAGCCATCAACGCACGTATGAACTCCTTGTGTTTAAGATGTCCATTGGCGTTGGCGATTACTTACCTTTTTCTTAATCCTTCCCCAATCCTTCCCCTTCCCCAATCCCTAAATCTCCAAATTCCTAATCCCTAAAAGGTCGGCAACGCACTCGTAACTCCTCCGTTGCGAGTGTCCATGGGCGGCGCTGATTGCTTACCATCAGGTAATCCGGCTGCTCGTTTGCCGACCTATTACATAAAATAAAAAAAATAAAATTTTAGGTATTGAGAAAGCTTCATTTGTTAGTCGATAATGCTAGCCTATGCCTTACCATCAGGCTTATTTCAATTAAGTTTTAGGGAACAAAGACTGAAGTTTCCTATCATCGGAAAAGGAATCCCCTGACCAGGCGATGTGATCAGCCAGTCGGACTACTACCAACAGTTGTACTTTGGAATTTACTATCCCAATCTATACTTCTATACTAATATTATAAAGAGGTAAAATTTGTAAGTTTGTATGTAGCTGGTCGGATTGACAAAAATCTTCACTGATATATAGCTACATAGTTCCTGAGCACTAAAGTCAAAGTCAAAGTAAAAAATCATTTATTCCAATTAGACCCATACAGGCACTTTTGAACGTCAAACAAAATTTTGAAGATATAGTGTCAGTCTGTCGGTCAGTCCTCTTAGTGAAGCTATTTGCTCGTTCCAAAGTGTAGATTCCGATGGAGAAGAAAGAGCAAGAAACTCCAACTCTATTAATTTAATTTGATTTGTGTATTTTAATCTAGCTATCGCTTTGAACGCTGCTGTTTATGAGTCGCAGGTGGAATCTAGTATGAATAGTTATACAAAATTGGATTACAAAATCTGTTGGTAATCTTTGGAACCGCTGGTCGGATTGCTACAATACTTTCACTGATAGATAGCCACAATGTTCCTGAGTGCTATAGGCTATAAAACATCACGTTACGATCAAATAGAGCTAGTAAAACATAATTTAAGTGTGGGAGAGCCAAGCTTCAGCACGAGTGGGTCGGCTTGACCGTAGTGATACCACGGCTTTACTTCAATGGAGTTTCTTGCTCGTTCTTCTCCATTCGAATCTACAATTTGGAACGAGCACCTAGCTTCACTGACGAACTGACTGACAGACTACTATTCTATTTTGACGTTTCAAAAGTACCTTTATGGTGTAGTTGAGTGAATGATGATGATGATTAAATCATTTTGGATCACACAATTAGGTAGTTGTTACATGTATTAGGCTTGGCACCGACTTCATACCTATGAATAGGTAGCACATAGAATTGATAGTGTTTTATTATTAATATTAAAAGTATAAGCTTCGCGTACGTAAGAGTGCTATTAAAATATCAATTTTAATTACTTATTTGACACTTTTTTGTTTTTGAAGTCGGTTTTTTTAAACGTAGTTTTTTTTATTTTTTACTTTTTAGTTTCTGTTACAAGTTCTTCTGTAAACTACAGTAACATTTTAAATATAAATTAACATATTGAATAGTATATATTTTTAAGTAGCTATGTGTATGTCTACGAAAGGAGCCGCTCGATTAAAAAATATTGGTAGTTTCCAACAAATGGAAAGTTCTCATCATCATCATCAAAATCAGCCATTTTAATGTTCCCACTACTGGGACCCAGGCGATTTCTCTAGGAGAGGGAAAGTACTTAACAATAAAAAGAAATTAAGTCCAAACACGAGGTAGCTACTGTAAACCGTTGAGGAGTTCCCTAGACTGTCTTTCGTCTTTATCATCAGATCCCTAATGACAGTCACAATCCATCTAGGTATAAAGTTCTTATCAAAACGAAATAATTAAGCTCAAACACAAGGAAGCTGCTATGAATCGTTGAGGAGTTCACTCGACTGTCTCTCGGTTCCATCCGGAATTCCCTCGACGGTCAATGGTCTCCATCATCAGGTAAACTGCAGACCTTCAGTTGTTATAATACATACAGGTACAAAGTTTTCATCAATATAAATGAATTAAGTTCAAACACGAAGTAGTTACTGTAAACCGTTCAGGAGTTCCCTGAGCTGTCCTTCGTTCTCATCATCAGACCCTTAATGACAGTTACGACCAAGCTTGCTGCAAAGTGCTCGCCAATACAAATCATTCAAGCCCAAACACAAGGCAACTACACCAAATAGTCAAGGAGATCCCTCGACTGTCTTCCAGGTCCAACATCTGGTCGACTTCGACCTTCGTCAAGATGTAGTGTTGTTAAAGGTCTACTTAAAAATCATACAAAAAAACTACTCGCCCCTACATTTTTCGAAAGTTCCCCTCGGTTTCTCCAGGATTCCATCATCAGATCCTGACCTCATGACAATGAGACCAAATGGTAAGTATACCCTATCGAATAAAAAAAGAATTTTGCAAATCGGTCCAGGCGTCTTCGAGTAATCGGTGAACATACATAAAAAACAAAAAAATACTCGTCGAATTGAGAACCTCCTCCTTTTTTGAAGTCGGTTAATAAATGATTTAGGATCACACAATAAGTAGTTGTTCCGTGAGGCATCCAGCCCGGGACACGTTGCGCGGCAGCCAGTTGCCCAGCCACCGCGCCAATCGTGCAGTCAAGTATAGGCATGAATAATAGCCAAGTCAACAACCTCGTGAGCCCATTTAAGATAATTTATAATATTTATAATTATGGGTTTTCCAACACTACTTAGGTACAAATTAATTTTGTTTTTTTCCCTGTCAGCTATGGGTAGCTAACTAAGAATGCACAGGATAATTTAATTAATTTTAAATGTATATAATTAACCTATTTTTTCACAACGTGACGCACAGATGTACACACGTGATTTCATGTGACTTTTTTTGAGAACGAGCATACGTATTTCCTGATGGTAAGCAATCGACTCCGCCCACAGGGTATCCATGGCCAGGTAGTGCTCTCTGGCCGCGCCACCTCAAATTAAATAGAGTATAATGAACTAAAAAAATCAATATTCCGAAAAAAACTACCAAAAGAGTACCTAGCATACGACAAATATGGTCCAATAAACCCCTTTAGTTAAAGAGTTATTAGTCGTAGGGAGTGGTCCGGCTGGAAGGTATACTCTGCAGCAAGTCGATTTTGCAATATTTAATAGTAACTATCCATAAATCAATTTATATAATAGTACCTTTTCTCTACTCTTCATTGATACTTTTTTCTCTGAAGAAACTATTCACAATGAGACCTCCTCTGTTTGTGACAGAAAAAGATCTGGCCGTCCACGTAGCGTTCGTACGAAAAAGGTGATCAAAGCAGTAAGGGAAAGAGTTCAAAGAAATCCTGTCCGAAAGCAAAAGATTTTATCTCGGGAGATGAAGATAGCACCTAGAACCATGTCGCGTATTTTAAAAGACGACTTAGAACTTGCAGCCTATAAGAGACGCACTAGACATTTTTTAAATGATAATTTATAAAAGAATAGGGTAATAAAATCTAAACAACCACTGAAGCGGTACGCAAAGGGAGGTCCCAGAAAAATTTTGTTTACGGATGAGAAAATTTTTACAATTGAGGAACATTTTAACAATCAAAATGACCGTATTTATGCTCAAAGCTCTAAGGAAGCTTCTCAATTAGTCGACAGAGTGCAACGTGGGCATTATCCGACTTCAGTGAAGGTTTGGTGGGGTGTTAGCTATGAAGGAGTGACTGAGCCATACTTTTGCGAAAAAGATATCAAAACATCGGCACAAGGGTATCAAAATACCATTCTTGAGAAGGTAGTTAAGCCCCTTAACAACACCATGTTCAATAACCAACAATGGTCCTTCCAGCAAGACTCGGCGCCGGGTCATAAAGCTCGTTCCACGCAGTCTTGGTTGGAAACGAACGTTTCCGACTTCATCAGAGCTGAAGACTGGCCGTCGTCTAGTCCCGATCTTAATCCGCTGGATTATGATTTATGGTCAGTTTTAGAGAGTAGGGCTTGCTCTAAACGTCATGATAATTTGGACTCCCTAAAACAATCCATACGATTGACAGTGAAGAATTTTCCCATGGAAAGAAAGCGTGCTTCTATTGATAACTGGCCTCAACGTTTAAAGGACTTCGAATAAGCTTTTTATGTTTTAAATTGTTTTATATTACTGTAAAAGTAATAAATGTTATTTGCAATAGAAAAATATTGTTTTTATTTGTTACAGTATTTATGGTTAGACTAGGTATATATTGCTTACTAGCAACCCGTCCCGACTTCGCACGGTTCCAATGCTGACAATAAATTGATCCGTTACCTAATGGATGTTATTTATATTGTATATACTAGCACCCGCACGTGGCTCCGCCCGCGTGTTATGTTATAGCAGGGGAGCCCATGAAGGAATTTCGGTAGTTACTCGAGCGCGTCAGATTAACATATTTATTTATTTATTTATTTATTTGGGACAAAAAACAGTTATACATTGCAGAATTAACAATAAAGTAGTGACATTACAGTTGTAATAACGTATAACCCACACCATTGTCCACGTAATAACATATGAGTATAAGAGCGAACGCATGTTAAGAAAGATATAATTTAAATTGGAATATTAGTTAACACTTACGGACAGATCGAGGGGAGCAAGAGTCGGAGAGTAGGTACTTATGTACGACTTGCAAGAAATTGTGAGACAACTCTTTTAAATTTAGGTTGGGACAGCGAAAAAATATCGAAGTCAATAAATTGTGAGTTATAGGTTTCTAAGAGTCGGCGGATAGGGGCCCGTACCCCGGCCTTAGTTCTGCACCGAGGGGTATAGAATAGCCGAGGCGCGCGCACCTCCCGCCGAATAGCAGTTCTAGGTACTACATAACATAGTCTATTAGACAACTCAGTACAGTTAAATTTATTATTGCATATGCCGTGTAGCATCATAACCATAATCAATAAACGCCTAGAATCCAAGCTCAACATCTTATAATGCCTTAACAAATCTGCATAGGGAATCCTTACATGGAAGTACTTATAGTGCATGGCATGAAGGAATTTTTTCTGTCCCTTTTCTATAGCATGCTTATATTTTTCATAATACGGGGACCAGATGGGTACCGCGTATTCTAACTGTGAACGGACCAGTGTTTTATATAGGAAAAGAAGAGTAGAAGGGTTTTTGAAATCCTTACTAGACCGCATGACAAAACCATACATCTGAAAAGCTTTGCTAACTATCTTGTCAATATGAGTGTCGAGATGCAACTTGCAATCAAGAAGTACGCCAAGATCACGCGTGCACTCAGTTTTTTTTAGTTGTGTGTCATTCAAGGTGTATTGGAAGTGAATACTATTTTTGTTTTTACTGAATGAAATGTAATGACATTTTGGAAGACTGAGATGAAGTTTATTTACTAGACAGTATTGTGCAATCCTGCATAAGTCCTCCTGTAGAAGCAAACAATCTTGAGAGTTCGCACAAGCCTTGTAGATTTTTATGTCATCAGCGTACATTAGGAATTTCGAGTTGATTATGCAGAGTTTTATATCGTTTATGAACAAGATAAACATCAAAGGACCCAAGACCGAACCCTGCGGCACGCCCGATCCAACGACTACATAGTCAGACTCGAATCCATTGACGACAACCTTTTGAGTCCTGTGAAAAATATATGAAGCAAACCATCTGAGTAAATTCCCTCTTATGCCATTGAAAGCAATTTTATCGAGTAGTAATTTGTGGTCCACCTTGTCGAAAGCCTTCCGAAAATCAGTGTAAACAGCATCAACCTGCGTGCGCACATCCATGTTTTCAAACAAATATTGTGTGAAGCTCATTAAATTTGTAGTGGTGGATTTGGATTTAACAAAACCATGTTGCTCGGGTATAATAAGGTGATTTAACTGTGACATACATACAACATATGGGGAATATTTAGTAACCTATTGAATATACCCATTATATACTTAATGTAAACAGAAGAGGGGCGGGAGGGATACCAATATAAAAAATAACTACATACATACAGTCGTTTTCATCAGATTAGGGGGGAAAAGGTATATGTCATGTCCAAGCAAGGGCGTTTAAAAAATCAGCCGATATCATCGTCGTTTACAACAGCAATAGAGTTTTGAACGGATCACGTTTATATCCCCTTAGTTAGCCAACCACACCAGGCGATTCGGCAGATTAAAATATTTTGATTATCAGAGATACATGGAGAATATACATTATTAATATCTGTCACGGTCGTGCACTAAAACAAAAGTTACACCTTACAATTTTGGTAAACTATCATTCACCCCTACCCCCACCGGATGAATGAAATGTCATTACGCCATTTTTTCTTACTATCACCAAACCTTCAGAATCCAGTTACTCCCTACGACGCTTGAGTAACTACAAATTTAGCATCCTGGGCTCCAACTAACTGCCAAGGCACGAGATGCCATAGTCAACACTATCAAAGGTTTTTAAAAAAAATGTATTTCAACTTCCCATGATTCAGGGGTTTGTGTAACATAGGAAATAAAAATCTATATCCATTTTTTTTAATAAACGTGTTGTATGTTGGCTTACAAACATACAACAGGCCACATGGGCGATAATAAAAGATTAAATAAATTCCTCTAAAACTGCCGTTCATGTGGATAATATTAAGCAAGTAAACGTGGTTCTCATGGGCCCTCAGGAAATCGCTACTGCTTTTAACAATCACTACACACACATAGAACTTACAGCACACCCAACACATAGCACTCATCACATTAAATCACAAAATAATTATAAAAGTAGTCGGGGTATAAGTAACACAATCTTTCTTAAACCCAACACACTAAGTGAAGTTAAACAGGAAATAATGACACTTAACAACACTAATACAGAGGGCTATGATGAAATTAATACAAAAGTAATAAAAACATTTATAAATGAATTACAAGAAATTGTCACATATCCGATAAATTTGAAATGTGGAATCTTTTTTGATGCATAATAAAAAACATGAGCCATGTTTCCACAGGTCTAGAAGGACACAAAAATTAAACGCTAAATAAACTTATTTTTAACATTTGTCTTTATTTACTTTTAAATATTTCAAAACAAATACAAAGACTATTAAATCATTCATAACGACGTATGAAGTCATAGAGAAAAGCTCGACTAGTTTCAAGCTACAGCGGGACTCTTATTCATGAGCAGCGTGCGCGTCGCGGCGAAGTCGCGCAACCGACTGATTCTGTCGAGCATTTCTCAGTCCATTCATGTGAGTAATTCGTTATTGTTCAATTTAGTAATTAGGTACTTTGCAAAAAACCTTTCTTGAATACTAAAGAGCCTATTTTGTCGACAGTATTTGCAGGATGGTTGACAGTTGCAATGCAATATATAGAAGAGTAAATAAGATTTCCAGCATCGTCTTCTTTATTTAGTAAGGACCTGAAAAAGGGAAAATCAATAAGAACTTGTTTATATCCAAACTAATATTATAAATGCGAAAATAACTCTGTCTGTCTGTCTTTTCTTCACGCCTAAACTAATGAACCGAGTTCTGTTAAATTTGGTACAGAAATAGTTAGGAAATCGAGAAAGGACATAGGATAGTTCTTATACCAAAAATCTGCAGGAAGTCACTATTACACGTGAACGGAATCGCGGACAAAAGCTATAACCGATTTATTTTGTGGCGACGCGAGACGTGTGTCTAATTGTCTAAGTGTGGGAGAGCCAAGCTTCGACCGGAGTGATACCACGGCCTCACAGAAAAACGACGTGAAACAACCACAGCGTTGTATTTAGAATTTTGACGTTTCAAAAGTACCTGTTTATAGTTTAGTAGGCATTAATGATTTTGACTTTGACAAGAGGTCATTTTCAAAAATGAAAATAAAAGATAATAATGCCCTTAATGCCCATATCTACTGGGGAATGAACTTACCGCAAACTTCTTCAGAACTGTGAGGTTTGCCAGGCTGAAAGAAAACAGGAGGACATGAGTAAATATGTACCTATATCCATTGCACTAAAACAAGAAAGACAGAAAGAGACAGAAAATCATTTATTTGGCTCAGGACATGCTGCATAACGTCGTGATGGCTCGAAGGTTAGGGCACCCGCGTCTCCTACATGAGGGTTCGAAACCTGGCAAGTACCAATGTGGCTTTTTCCATCGCATATGTACTTTCTCAGTTATTAAGACACCACTGACATACGGTGAAGGAAGACATCGTGAGGAAGAAAAGAATTATAGTTTTTAAAGTTTGATGTCGCTACCCGCAAGCGTGGTGATAAAAGCTCAAACTTTCTTCGTGTAAGAAGAGGCCTTTGCTCAACAGTGGGTGCTTATAGACTGATGATGTGGTGATGCCGCACAAAGCACCAAAGATATGTACACCAATAATAACAACACCTGACTGTCATGCAGTGGAATCTAATGCTAGAGTTTGTGTTTCACGAAAGGTGTCTTCAAGGCTGGATTGAATAGGTTACTCGCTCACTTATCACCAAACGAAATAAAGTAATAGAGAGTATAATTTTATGCTTTGGCACGAATGGGTCGGCTCGACCGAAGAGACCACGAAAGACCACGGCCTCAAAGAAAACCGACGTGAAACAACCACAGCGTTGTGTTCCGCTGTATGGCCTTTAGTATGAGTTAATGTTTTATTAAAGGTCGTAACTTATTATTGTTGTTTTTTTTTTTACTTTCTTTATTGCTTTGTATTATATTATCATCATTGTACTTATGTTTGGTGTTTTATGTGGCATGTTCGGTGCCAAATAAATTATTTTCCTTTCTCTCTTTCTGATCCACGTATGAGTCAGGCTTCGTATACAAAAAATACTCACAATGTACTCCAGCGGTGGTGGAATCCCTTCGAAGTCGATCAACTGTATCGTGACGTCATAGCTAATTGTGATGTGGGAGATCCTATGGAAGGGCACGCGGTGCTTGAAGTCGCAGAAGTGTTGCCCATTCAGTAACACCTAGCGGAGGTACGTACGATTGGTAAGGCGAAAGTCTTATTTCATCATCACGAGAGCGGAACATTTCATCTTATAATTGTGGGAGAGTTATGCATGTATCGGCCGGCTCGACCACAGTGATACCACGGCCTCACAGACAAGAGGCATGAAACAACCACAGCATTGTGTTTCTCCGTGTGAGTGAGGTCACCGAAGGCCTAACCCTTCCCCTCCCCTATCCTTACTCCCCAAAAGGCCGGCAACGCTCTCGTAACTATCGTAGTAGCAGGTGCTGATTGCTTCACAATAGGTAATCTGTCAGATCGTCTGCTGTTCTATGACATAAATGCAAATAAAGGACAGTAGGATACAGCCGACTCGAAGCAGGATTATTATTCAGTAAGAGAATGGAGGTGCCATGCTTAGGCACGAATCGGTCGCGTTAATACCACGGTATTACAGAAAACGCTTACATTTTGGTTCACCATGCGAGTTATCGTACAGGAGGCTCAATCCTTCCCTTCCCCATTTTCCCAAAAGTACTTTCTTTAGTGCTGCGGGTGTACATGGGGTCGCCGATTGCGTACCATCAGTTGTTCCTTGTATCTGATCCTATAAAAAGACATACTCTAGGGTCTCATTTAGGATAAAAGAAACCTTACGTTGTTTTTCACCTTATGAATGAGGTTACTGGACGCCCAGTCCTTCCCCTCACATTCTCATGCCTCAAATCCCCTATCCTCAAATCCCTAATAACCGACAAGAGGCCGGCAACGCACTTGTCGTAACTCCATTGGTATAACGAGTGTCCATGGTCGGCGCTGATTGCTTACCACCAGGTAATCCGTCTGCTTGTAAAACCTAAAACTGGTATATAATCAGATTGTCTCAATTCCATGTGACTCAATTCCTTAAAAAATGCCACTTACTGTAAACCGATCATAGTGACAAATAAAGTGGGCTTCGAATGTCTCTCCACGTTGCAGCGGTAAGCCTCCATGGGTCTCTTCTTGACCCCATCTCCCAGAAATGTAATGATTGCGCACAATATAACCTTCCTGGAAGCGAAGCTTGAAATGGAAGGCAATATCATTGTTATACTGCAAGTCGATCCCAAACCTAGAAACAAAATGTATACAACAAAACAACAAATCATCATCAACATCATCATCATCATCATCATCATCATCATTATCATCACCTATACGTGACCACTGCTGAGCAAAAGCCTCTTCTCACACGGATAAGGTTTGAGCATTAACCACCACGCTTGCTCAAGGCGGATTGGCGATTTCAAACTTATTATTAGAAATTATCAAGTCCAGGTTTCCTTGCGATGTTTTCCTACACCGTTTGTCAGTGGTGTCTAAATAATCATAGAAAGTACTCCACTCTAAGCCTGCGATGCACGCACGCAGGATGAGCATTACCTACGTATGACAGACCGCACAACGACCTCTCCGGAAATAAGGACTACGTTTTACTCCTGTATCGTAGGTGCGTTTACAAACTTACAATTTTACACAGACATCCCTATTATTGGGCTAGAAGCAGGTAATAAACTCACTTTTTTGCATCTGAAGGAATACTTCCCTTCACTGTTATTATGCGCCCAGGAAACATACCCCCAGGAATCATTTTTGAGCATGGCACTGCCTGGAAGAATAGAATAAACATTGATTTAGCATTTTTTTTTTAATTAGCGTTGAATATTAGGAAACTTTGTATAAAAAAATATGGGACCCAAAATACTGCCTAGGGGCACACCATTTTTAAATTTCTTCATACATGAGTTAACTGACATCATTTCTCATTATTACTGGCTGTTTTAATAATATGTAGACATATATGTCTATAAATATTTTTTCATCAACGGAAAACATATCTAAATAGGAAATATAATTTACACTTCAAACTTATCCAAGGGCTTTTGAAGGTTTAAAAAATTCTAAATCTCTTGAAACACAGTCAATTAAAAAACTCACCGGGTTGTTAATAGCTTCTGGCATTATTTGTTCTTTCAAATTAAACAATTATTTTGGATGACTGTTCGGTTCTTCCGTCGAGCAACGAATGTAAGCCAAGCCTGTGCGCGCGGCATTATAAGTAAAAACTGCGCCCACGCAGGCAACCACAAGACCACATCAAAAGCAAAACGTCACATGTCATGTCAAATTCAATACTTATTTCGAATTATCTAACTTAATTTACAGAGTGAGATCACTGCTTTTTATTTCTTCATATGATTGGAAGGCTAACAAGTAGTCGGATTACCTGATGGTAAGCAATCGGCGCCACCCATGAACATCCGCAACACCAGCGGAGTTAAGAATGAATTGCCGGCCTTTTGGTAATTAGGATTTTGAAGCTTTAGGTATTGGGGACGAAAAGATTTATTAACCGACTTCAAAAAAGGAGGAGGTTCTCAATTCGTCGGGGTCTTTTTTTGTAATAATTATTAAATACTTTATTGAATGGAAAAGTAAATAACCATTGCCTGGACTGCGACTTAGTCCTAGTCCAACCAACATAATGTTTCAATGCAAAAGTTTATGGCAATGTATAGATGTAATGTCTTTCGTGCAAAAAACAACTGAATCGATCAGAAAACGACCACCACCGACGGGGCCCTATAGGGCTGATGTTCAGCCGGGATTGCGGCACTGAGGCACCTTTGCCTTGGCCTAAAGCAGGAGAAAGAACGGCGTCTGACACTTTCTCTCACACAAGCGACCTCGCGCATAATGTCATACTCTGTCGACCATAGATAGATAAAAGTTTACCTACTATTTACTCTTTATTTTTTGTGCTTTTTGTTAATAATTTTATTTTAGTTAACAGTTACATTATTTTATCATTTAGTTTATATAATTGGTATAGTTTTTCTTTTTCCTTTTTTTTTTGGTATTTTTGTATTTTATGTGTGTGCGCTTGCGCAGAAATAAATGTTTCTTTCTTTCTTTCTTTCTTTCTTTCTTTCTTTCTCTCGCCTTACCCTGGGCGGGAGAAGTCATTTGATGACTTTCCCCTGACAAAAGCGTGCCTCCTCCTTTGGAAATAGCAGGCGTGACAAACAGACAACATTATCTAGTACCATCATACTTCCGCATCACTATCTATAAAGTCGGTTAAAGGTAGGTACTGATATACACACAAACAATATCTCTAACCACCATTCCCTATCTCCACGTCCACCAAAATAAACAAATAGGTACATACATAAAGTATTTGCCAAAAAATTTATTCACACGGTGATAAGATAACGTTAACTTTATCGCTATAGCTGACCAATATATTACTTCGTCTATTTAAACGAGTAATTTAATTTTTAAATTAGGGAAAATATTCAAATGACTTCTCCCGCCCAGGGCCGGGCGGGAGGGAGTGTCAGACTCTTACTGACTAAAAACCCCCCCGTTCCTTCTCCTGCTCTGGGCCGAGGTCGCGGTGCCTCATTGCGCTTACCCCGCAACCCCGGCTGAGCATCAGCCCTATAGGGCCCCGTCTGTGGTGGTCTATTGGTTCTTTGAGGCGCGCGCGGAACGCTACGCGCCGTAGTTGTTTATAGTTAAGGTTTTAATTTTGTTTTAGCACTTTTTATGTTACAGGTCAACAAATAATAATATCTGATTCAGTATTGCTATTTTTCTTGACAACTCATTTATAAATACCTACATCCAATATTATATTTAAACTTTTAAATAAGAATTAAGAATACATCATCATTAGCCTTGAAGTATCCACCGATGAGCAAAGGCATCTTTTCTCACGGAGATGGTTTAAGCATTAATCACCACAATTGGTTAAATCACTTACTCTGTCAAGAAAGTACCGGGAAAAAGTCAATAATACACAAAATGTTTGTTATTCATCTAAATTTATTTTATCACCTTCAAAGTATGCTCCTTCAGAAACGATACACTTACGCCAACGAATAACCAGCCGGGGTTGCGGGGTAAGCGCAATGAGGTACCGCGACCTCGGCACAGAGCAGGAGAAGGAACAGGGGGGTTTTTAGTCAGTAAGAGTCTGACACTCCCTCCTGCCCGGCCCTGGGCGGGAGAAGTCATTTGATGATTTTCCCCTCACAAAAAAAAAAAAAACTCCAACGAATAATCCAATCATCGAAACTTTTTTTAAACGCTGTTTCCGGAATTGAGTTCAGTGCTCGCCGCGAATTCTCCTTTATGTGTTCTAACGATTGAAAACGGGTGCCACGAAGGGGTAATTTGAGTGTGGGAAAAAGAAAGAAGTCTGGAGGCTGGAGCCGATATCTGGTGAATATGGTGGCTGCTCGATGGTGTTTGTTGAGTGTTTGGACAAAAAATCGTTTACAATGATGGCCTTGTGCGAAGGCGCATTATCGTGATGCAAAATCCAAGAATTTTCTTTCCACATTTCTGGCCTTTTTCGTCGAATTTGTTCTCTTAAACGCCGCATAACGCTCAAATAATATTCTTTATTTACCGTTTGACCTTCGGGCAAGAATTCTGAGTGCACAACACCGCGATAGTCAAAGAAAACCGTCAACATGACTTTGACTTTTGATCGACTTTGACGTGTTTTGTTCGGTTTTGGTTCAGTTGGAAGGCGCCATTCCGAAGCTTGTTGACTAGTTTGCATGTCAAACTCGTAAACCCACGTCTCGTCACCAGTAAAAATGCGTTTCATGAATGTTGGGTCGGTATTGACTCGTTCTAGCATGTCCTCAGCGACTTTCATGCGATTTAGTTTTTGAAGAAAATTCGGGAATCGAACCCGCGACACGTTGCACGGCAGCCAGTTGCCCAGCCACCGCACCAAACGTGCAGTCATAATCGCTATGAGCATAGGGTGGGATATTCACCATGAAGCGATGACGTTTTCTGATGATGATTGTCTAGTGTTACAATGGTGAAAAGGACTAGGAGGAATGAGTTCTACAGTCCCTCCCAAGAGCCTTTTTTTTAAGTAATTGGTCGGCAAACGAGCAGACTGATAACCTGATGGTAAGCAATCAGCGCCGCCCATGGACACCCGCAACGGAGGAGTTACAGGTGCGTTGCCGACCTTTTACTTGGAGATTTAGGGATTGAGGAGGGGTTGGGGGCGGGGAAGGATTGGGCCTCCGGTAACCTCACTCACACGGCGAAACACCACGCTGTGGTTGTTTCACGCCGGTCTTCTATGAGGCCGTGGTATCACTCCGATCGAGCCGACCCATTCGTGCCGAAGCATGGCTCTCCCACACTTAGCCTCCGAAAAGTGACCGAATTTTACATTAATACGTATAACGTGAATCCAAGAGTTGGTCTTATTGGTGGCAATCCTAGAGTCCAGCTCATTAGTAAGAAAGGTCATTTATTTTACCTCTGGATTATTATATTTATTTAGCATCATCCTATAAGTGCCTACTGCTGAGCAAAGGCCTCTTTATCAAAGATTTGATCATTAATCATCACCATCAGCCAGATTCCGTCCAGTGCTGGACCTGCGGCCTAGGATAGGCCTCTCCGTGAAGTGACGGGGAAATTAAATTTTAGAATGCCACTTTTAACGTCATCTCATACTTTATCTATTAAAATGTTGCTGTCAATTTAGTTCACCTCGCAAGTGTACTAATACTCACAGCGGATTCAGATTCGAAGTTTAGAATGGAGTCTTACAGAATCACACCCCTGAGCTCGACTGTTCAGCTCTTCTCATTGAACCACTGCCACAATAATTAGAAATTGTAAGTCCAGGTTTCCTCACGACGTTTTCCTTCACCGTATGTCCCTGTGGTATTTTTCATCATTGAAAGTTTAAAGAAAAGAAACAACATACATATTATATTTACACATTTATTTTCATAATTTATTGTACAACTATTACATATACATGGTGTTCAAGCCACACAAGTGTATCACCCTGTATACAGCATGTTTGAAACCACTGTCTGACCGAAGGTGTTCTGAACGATTGGGCCTCCGGAAACAACGCTGTGGCTGTGTCACGCCGGTTTTCTGTGAGGCCGTGGTATCACGTCAAGCCGAATTATAGCTAAGCCCAAGCGCGAATCCAGCCATCAAAAAAGGTTGTGGTGATAGCTACTAGAAAATCGGCTATATACGAGTCGGATCAAGGACATGCTCATTAACAATCATGCAAATCGTTTATGAACTTATGAATTAGATTTTTTTCTGAGCATCAGAACTTTGGCCTTAGGAATGTAAATAAACTTAGGAAGAAGTCGAACACGATTTCTTCTAATTTCTAATAGGCAGTTTCGATCCAAACCTATTTCAAGCACAAGTGTAGGTATTAAGGTGGTGGGCATGCCCATCGTGCCCACAACGGTGGATCCGCCCTTGGCTAAGCCACACAATGATATCTGCCTTTCACAGTTCCGGAGATAACATGGTTCAAAGTAAACAACAAATAATAGGTTCTTTTTAATTTTTAGCCCAACAGAATCCACTATGGATCAACCAGTAATATCATAGCATGCTGTATCATTATATAATATACAACAATAATAAAAATCTTATTATATAAATAAATAACTTTATTTATAATAATACTAACTATCACTTCAACGAGAATTTCTTAGATCCTTCATTTTGTTTTAAAACTACCCGCCCCGACTTCGTTTGGCTGCAATGCTGATAATAAATGTCTCCACTATTTACCTAATGGATGTTATTATACATATAAACCTTCCTCGTCAATCACTCTGTCTATTAAAAAAACCGCATCAATATCGGTTGCGTAGTTTTAAAGATTTAAGCGTACATAGGGATATAGGGACAGAGAAAGCGACTTTGTTTTATACTATGATTATAATTTTAAGTGCAGACTAAACAGTTATTCGACAAGCTTTAATATATTATTAATTTACTAAAGATAATATTATTTAAGAGGGAGGTTTATATGTATAATAAGTAATAACATTAGCATTAGCATCATGCGAAGCTGGAACGGGTCGCTTAACCTATTGGCAACTTAGTTGAACAACTATAGTCAGAATTTTAATTCAATTGCTGATTTGACATGACCTACTGTCATTTTGTGAAATAATGTGATGAACACAAAAATTAATAAACAATCAGTGAATCAGTTTCAGGTAGGCATTCAAAAAATTACGGCTACCGAATGGTCTAAATGCGTATCCCATGTTGTCAAAGAAGAGAAAAAAATGAGTAAGCTAGATATGTTAATTGACAATAAATATCACAGACACAATTCATAATAAATGTTACAGAAAGTAACAGCGATAGCGATAGCGATGACGTCGACAATTTATAAAATTTCTGTTTTATTTGTCATGTTCCTTCATGATCATATTTTTTATTAATTTCACACACAATTACAAAAGAAAAGTCTCAGATCGTTAATTAATTGTCAAAACTAAATTTTCGGTTCAGAAATATTTTATTTCCTGATAAACTTAGTTTACGAGAGTAAAGTTATAAACGTGAGGAATCGATTCAGAAATATTCGATTTCCATATCGAATAAGTTCGCAACGTCACTATTTAGTACGTGTCATAATGTTGCAACACTGAAATTGTCAAATCTGGAATGGAATTAAAATTCCGAGTATAGTTGCCGGCGATCAAGCCCATTCAACTTGTGTATATTCAGATAATTTCTTTTATAATAATGATATACATTGAAGATTCTTTCAGACAGTCATAATTTTTATTAATACTTTTTTAAAGTTAAGATCATAACAAAAATAAATTCCGTTCGGAAAACCCACCATATATGCCATAACTAATACTGTCCAATTTTTATTTGTATCCCTACATCTTTAACGGTTTACTCACGAAACTATACAAGGTAACTCGACAAGTTTCAAGCTTCGCCGGGCGCCGATAATAATGTGAAAATGCGATACAACTGACGCAACGCACTTTTGAGTACTCCAATATTAAAATTAGTAAATCAATAAGATATTTGAAGAAACACGCTCTTTTAAATTTCTTTTTTAATATTAGCCAAAACACAGATAAATATATTTTTTCTATTCTAAGTACCATTACCTTGATAATATTGAAATATGTATACATTAATTAAAATAATAATATTATAATACCTCCAGGGATGGAATAATGAGTTAAAATTAATGTACTTAGGTACAAACGGAATGGCAAACTATTTTATCCTAAAAGGGGTAAAGCAGAGATTTCTATTTGAGATAGGTCGGCAAACGAGCAGCCTGATTACCTGATGGTAAGCAATCAGCGCCGCCCATTGTCACCCATGGCAACAACAGAGGAGTTACGAGTACGTTGCCGTCCTTATGGGGATTATGGTTTTAGAGATTTAGGGACTGGGGAGGGATCGGCGAAGGGAAAGGACTGGGCTTCCGGTAACCTCACTCACACGGCGAAACACAACGCTGTGGTTGTTTAACGCCGGTTTTCTGTGAGGCCGTAGTATCACTCCGGTGGAGCCGACCCATTCGTGCCGAAGCATGGCTCCCCCACACTTTTAGGATTAGGATTTTGTAGATCTAGGGATTGGCGCGATGACAGATGCACAAATACAATTTTTAACCCACTTATTATTATTATTATACAACTTATTTATATGTAAGTATACAAATATTAATGATTTAATCATATGTATAATTGAAATAGTTTTATCGACTAAGCTACGTATTTAAGGCAACATTCAGTGTTTTCGAGTTAAAATTCGAGACGTACAGATATATTTAGCAAACTTATTGACTTAGGGCTGATTTTTCAATAGTCAGATAAATGTTATCTGAGGAATAAAATTGTTGCTGTCACTGTCTAATACAAACATTGTGACGCGACAGCATCATAATTATTCACCAGGTAACTTTTATTTAACCATTGAAAAATCAGCCCTAAATTAATGTTTATTTAAACCTAGGAATAATATAAATATTTTATATGTGACATTGCTGTTGTTAGGAAGGTTAATGGAACATCAGCCGGCAATTATCCCTGTATGAAAATTATATGGTTATGGGTGTGGGTGGCTATGGACTGGTAGATATGATAAGTATATTATTTATAATAATTAGGTTTTTTAATAGTGCTGTTTGGTCGAGGCCCCTGAGTGAAGATAGGTCTTGTTGGCATTGTGCTTTTAAAATCAAATTGCTTGATTAATTTTATTCCCAAAAAAATACAGGAAAACAAATGATGTGATCAATCCTGTAGTTTCCAACTAGTCAAATTCAATACTTTTTTTTTTATGTAATAGGTCGGCAAACGAGCAGGCGGATTACCTGATGGTAAGCAATCAGCGCCGCCCATGGACACTCGCAACGGAGGAGTTACGAGTGCATTGCCGACCTTTTAGGGATTAGGGATTTGGAGATTAAGGGATTGAGGAGGGATTGGGGAAGGGGAAGGATTGGGCCTACGGCAACCTCACTCACACGGCGAAACACAACGCAGTGGTTATTTCACGCCAGTTTTCTGTGAGGCCGTGGTATCACTCCGGTCAAGCCGACCCATTCGTGCCGAAGCATGGCTCTCCCACACTTAAAACTATATCATGTAATGAAATATCAAAAACGATATTGTTCTATGATTTTTTTTAAGGAAATCACAACATATGATGTTGTATGTGGGGCAGCGCTGAAAACCAGCGCTGTTGTTTCGTGCCAGCGTGCGCGAAACACAGCATTTATGCTGAGCGCTGCCCCTTTTCACGCATGAGTGACGCAATTGCAGTGCTTTTCTTTTTTTATGTTCATTGTTTGTTTTGTCCCTATATAGCTATATTCGTGTGTGTTTTTTTCTTGCGTCATTTGTGTGTAAAATAAATGGTTTTTCTTTCTTCTTTCTTCTAATGTTATCACGTCAAACAGCTTACCTACTTATTTTTAAAAAGTAACCTAAAGAATACTAAATTAATCTAAAGCGGACGGATTACCTGATGGTAAGCAATCGGCGCCGCCCGTTGACACCCACCCCGGCCTTTCGGGGATTACGGGTAGAATGTCGCGACACAAGAAAAGCAACTTAAACTTGAAGAAACTTTACGATATACTGTTAATTATTTAACATTAGCCAAAGGAAATATACAGGGACAAAAAGACACTTAACGAAGCCGAAAGCCACGTATTCTACCCATTATTTGGAACATGTTTTTCTTTAAGACCATAGCTGGGACTCCACGGGTTCTCGAGATATTGAAGGTCAAAGATGCATTTTAATTTTTTTTTTTTTTGCGCAATCGAATTCTAAGTATTATTACAAAACTTTTTTTCAAACAAACATTACCAGAATTTTAGATTTTTCTAAATAAATTACGCATTACTGTTCGTAACTTCAAGTTACGAACAGTAATGTACGTAATAAATAAATGCAGACCCGCACAAAAAACATCGTGCATCTCAGTAGGATTTTTATTTTACAGAATTGTTTTGTTGTTGCGAAGTAAAACGTCGACCTACGTACTTATCACAGCGTTTTAATGCTAAGCTGTGAACCTACGCACACAATGACACGAAGCCCGTTTGCTTTACATTGCGCGCAATAAAATAATAATTTTTTTTGTTACCTAAAAATAAAAGTTGTTTCCCAGTGATAATTTTAGCGTAAAGCTACTTAGTTAGAACTGCAGTATGCATATTTAACAGCTTCGTTTAGTGTCTTTTTACACCCTGTATACCTACATATACCATTTGACGTATGTAAAAAGCTATGTCGTCACAACGTGGTATTTCATAAAAAAATGAATATTCTCTGATGGGGACAAATTCTCAGACTTCCATCGTCCTGCACGTCGATTCTATAAAATTTGTTTGATTTTGAATCTTGTTCGAGTGTGAAGTGACGGGGAAATTACATTATAGAATGCCAATTTCAACGTCATCTCATACTTTATCTATCAAAATGTTGCTGTCAATTTAGTTCAACTCGCAAGTGTAGCGCTAGTGTACTACTACTCACAGCGGATTCAGATTCGAAGTTTAGAATGAAGTCTTACAAAATCAATCTTGACGTTCAAAAGTGCCTACTGTGGTCTAATTGAAATAAATGATTTTTGACTTTTTTTGATCACACTGCTGAGCAGGGTGAGAGTCAGGGAGTGACTGTTTTTTATGTAATTGGTCGGCAAACGAGCAGACGGATTACCTGATGGTAAGCAATCAGCGCCGCCCATGGACACCCGCAACGGAGGAGTAACGAGTGCGTTGCCGACCTTTTATGGATTAGGGATTTGGAGATTTAGGGATTGAGGAGGGATTGGGGGCGCGGAAGGATTGGGCCTCCGGTAACCTCACTCACACGGCGAAACACAACGCTGTGGTTGTTTCACGTCGGTCTTCAGTGAGGCCGTGGTATCACTCCGGTCGAGCCGAAATGGACTGGTAAAACCGACTGAATAAAAATCACCGCGTTCCTTTTTTTTATGTTAAAGGAGGGGCGGCAAACAAGTAGACGGATAACCTGATGGTAAGCAATCAGCACCACCCGTGGATGCCCGCAACAATTAAAGAGTTACGAGTGCGTTGCCGACCTTTTAGGGATTTTGGTTATTTAGTTGGAGAGGGGAAGTATTGGTTTTCCGGTAACTTCATTCACTCGTCGAAAAAAACATACGACGGTTCCTCCTTTTATTTGATCCACAAGCCCAGGTACTAAAATCATAGTTACATTCTTATTCCATTTCGATAAAGAAAATCGAAAATTTTTCATCCCCATCACATAGATGGTTGGCAGTCAACAACTGTGCGATTCACCCGAAACTTTCTGCCCCGCACAGCAAGACTTTGGAATGATCTTCCAGCGGCGGTATTCCCGAACCGATACGACCTTCAAAACTTCAAGAAACGAGCATATTCCTTCTTAAAAGGCCGGCAACGCACCTGTGATCCCCCTGGTGTTGCGGATGTCCATGGGCGGCACTGATTGCTTACCATCAGGTAATCCGTCTGCTCGTTTGCCGACCTATTACATAAAAAAAAAGTATAACATTTGACTAATTGGAAACTAACTAACTAATAATTTCAGTGAGCGTTGCGTGAAAATTTATTTTTTACGTTTGCACGAAAAACCTGCTTAAACATTAATTAGACCTACCTGCCACTTAGTAGACCCTATAACAAATACGATTGGTGCCTGGCACTAGAATGGCACTAATTATTACCGTTACAGCCTCCTTAATCCATCCAATCATCTCCACCGAAGTCGATGGATTCTGAAAACGAAGCTGTCTCCACCTGAAACACATATTTCGGTAAGAAAATAAGTTGAAGTCTTTGTCTAAGTTATTTCAAAAATACCTTTTTTGGGAGGGAAAAATCATCAAATCACTTCACTAGCCCAGGGTGAGGCTAGAGGAAGTGTCAGACTCTTACTGACTAAAACCCTCCCAGTTCCTTCTCCTGCTCTAGGCCGAGGTCGCTGTGCCTATTCCGCTTACTTCGCAACCCCGACTGAACATCAGCCCTATAGGGGCAGGTCCGAATAAGACCCTTACAGGCACTTTTGAACGTCAAACAATGCTTAAAGATAAAAAGTGTCAGTCTGTCGGTCAGTCCTCTAGTGAAGCTATTTGCTCGTCCCAAATTGTAGATTCGAATGGAGAGGAAAGAGCAAGAAACTCCATCGTTACTCTTTTTTAAGAATATTATTTATTTTAAAATTTTACTAATACATAATTTAGTAAGTATACATTATTGTACCCCAATGTGAGAACAATGCAGAGACAAGTTGTTAAAAAAAAACAAATGATTGGATCTATTCATTAAATTTTAAATCCTTTATCATCTCCAACATGGCGCTCACATATGCGTACTGACAATCAAAAATCCAAATCCAAACTAATATCATAAATTCAAAACTAACCCTGTCTGTCTGTCTTTTCTTCACGCCTAAACTACTGGACCGATTTGTGTGAAATTTGGAACAGACATAGTTTGGAACTCGAGAAAGGGCATAACAGCACAACAGGACAAATAAGGAACCAGGAAGTCACTATTCCACGCGAACGAAGTCGTGGGCAAAAGCTAGTAATCAATATATCACTACAAAAATAAGTGTTAGAATACTGAGATCTTTTATTATTAATTTTGGCCATAAAACGTTCAAACAACTACAAAATAACAACTACTCCAGATCTAACCTATAATAATACCTATATTATATGAAGGTCTACCTAATCGTCTCCATCATAATCAAAACCTCCTCCATAGTCGTCCGCATCATCATACGCTTCTTCATCATAATCCCCTTGTTGAGGAGGTGGTTGGTGAGGCTGGCCCTCTTGGGTTGGGTAACCGCCCCATTCAGGAGGAGGCTGACCTTCTTGGGTTGGGAAACCGCCCCATTCAGGAGGGGGCTGACCTTCTTGGGTTGGGTAAGCACTCCATTCAGGAGGGGGCTGACCTTCTTGGGTTGGGAAACCGCCCCATTCAGGAGGGGGCTGACCTTCTTGGGTTGGGTAAGCATTCCATTCAGGAGGGGGCTGGACCCCTTGGTCTAGGAGTGCGCCCCCTTCAGGAGGGGGTTGGGATGGGAGTGCGCCACCTTCAGGAGGGGGTTGGGATGGAAGTTCGCCGCCCTCTGGAGTAGGAGTAGTCCCTTGGGCTGGTGGTGCGGCCCCTTGAGCTGGGGGTTGGCCCTAGAGGATCAATAGAGTAGGGGGATGAGGAAGGAAAAGTGACTGATACTAAAATATTACTTCAATTTCAGCTCCGGATCATTTTCTGAGTGGCATAAAGGCTGCTTCATGCAATCCTGGATGATATGATGATGAAGATAATGTCACGCCATACACGGTTTAACACGAAAAGATAATAACATAAAACTGTTGGGCAGAAGCCCACTAAGCCTGATCATTCTTTTTAATATCAAAGTTCGGCAAACGGGCAGACGAATTTCTTTCTTTCTTTAAATCAGTGCCGCCCATGGACACTCATGTAATACCAAAGGAGTCCCCTACGGTCACCTCTTGTAGGTTATTAAGGACTTAAGGATGGGAGGGAAGGACTGGGCCTCCGGTAACTGCACTCGCACGGCGAAACAACCCTGTGGTTGTCTTACGCCGGTGTTCTGTGAGGCCGTGGTATTACTCTGGTTGAGCCGACCCATTCGTGCCTAGGCATGGCCCTCCCACACTTAAACAATATTAACATAACAAAATTCTCTAAATACTTATTAGAAGACTTACCGCTGGTGGTGGACTGTCGCTGTTAAACCCTCCTCCCATGGCATACCCCGCAATGCCCCCGGCTGCGAGGGCTGCCGCCCCCATGCCCACAGCAGCCCCCGTGCCCATTCCACGTCGCTGAGGTTGACCTTGCACAAACTGAGGTTGACCTTGCACAAACTGGGGTTGACCTTGGACAAACTGGGGTTGACCTTGGACTAACTGCGGTTGCCCTTGCATCATCGGCCGTTGTTGTGGTGGATACGTCTGGAAAAAATTTTTACATTCATGTCATTGCGTTTCTTTGTTTTATTTTGAAAAAAGTACAGTTCTTGTGGAGTAATTTACACCATTTACACCAAATTAAACTTTCTTCCAATCGACAATATCGAAGTTTCAGTATTTATAACACAAAAACGGCTGAACCGATTTGGCTGAAAATTTAAAGGGAGGTAGCTAAGAACTGGGAAGGATATAGGATAGGGTAGGTAGGGTAGTCTGCTTGTGACCACGACCTGTGCAACCGGATCGAAACGTCAAGCCTACCAAGGTATTCAAAAATTAATTTTCGTAAGAGAGAGAGAACATTGAATCTGTGCGAAGCCGGGGCAAGTCGCTAGTGATTGACTAAAGAGTTGATTTGACTTCGCTTTTCTCCGAAACTACTGGTACGAATTTAACAATTGTTATTGTGTTGGATAATCCATTTATCGAGGATGGATATAGGGTATAAACATCACGCCACGACCAAAAGGAGCCGGCAGATAGTGAAACAGTACGGGAGAAGCTAGAAGTGTATGAAATAATATAAAAAATCTCACCACACCACCCGGAGGTCGACCTTGCCCTGTAACAAAACAACATTTTTAGTTTTTTGTTATATATATAATTGATCGGCAAACTAGCAGACGGATTACCTGATGGTAAGCAATCAGCGCCGCCCATGGACACTCGCAACGGAGGAGTTACGAGTGCGTTGCCGACCTTTTAGGGATTAGGAATTTGGAGATTTAGGGATTGGGGGAGGATTGGGCCTCCGGTAACCTCACTCACACGGCGAAACACAACGCAGTGGTTATTTCACGCCGGTTTTCTGTGAGGCCGTGGTATCACTCCGGTCGAGCCGACCCATTCGTGCCGAAGCATGGCTCTGCCACACTTCTATGATAAACTCTGTTTCTACGGAATCGGATAGGTCAGCAAACGAACAAGCGGACTGATGGTAAGCACTCAGCGCTCTTGGACACCCGCAACGGTGCTCCGACTGCGTAGCCGCCCTTTTGGAGATTTCTGGGACTGGGGGAAGGGAGGGATTAGGGGAGGTCAAGGATTGGGCCTGGCGGTAACCTCACTCACACAGCAGAACAAATCGCTATGGTTATTTTACGCCGGTTTTCTGTGAGGCCGTGATATCACTCCGGTCGAGCCGACCCATTCGTGCCAAAGCATGACTCTAATAAGACCAAAGAGGTACCTATCAACTTTTTGACAATTTGTAAGCGCTGCTGGATTCAACTCAATGTCAGATGGTCTGTAACATCATGTTTACTATGTCCTACAGTAGGTGGAGCTATAGTTTGGGTTGCTACGCTCCTAACAGAATCGTGGACCGGGCCAATGGCTGCTATATTACTACATAGTATAAAACAAATTCGCTTTCTCTGTCCCTATATCCCTATCTATGCTTAAATTCGACCCAATCCGGCTTAGCACGGATCTTCACATCATTAGCCTATAAGTGCCTAATGCTGAGCAAAGGGAGTTTAAGTGTGGGAGAGCCATGCTTCAGCACGAATGGGTCGGCTCGACCGGAGTGATACCACGCCCTCCCAGAAAACCGGAGTGAAACAACCAGTGTTGTGTTTCGCCGTGTGAGTGAGGTTACCGGAGACCCAATCCTTCGTGTCCGTTACCCAGGCCAGATGTTGTCGACAATGGTCATTTGAATCTTATAGATAATTAGTTGTGCGGCTTCTGTAATTGTTGCGCACATTTTTAAATTTGTTGCGCTTATAGTTTTTTAATTATTTCACAAAAACATTTCCTGCTGGCGTAACGTTACCACAGCCAGACCTTTTTCTTTCTAATGGGAATATTTAAATAAATATTAGCTATAAAATTAGTTGTCTAGATAAAGTAAATGTTGTGCCTTATTTTGTATTTGTTCTTTCTTCGGTTGCGAAGTTATTCGAGATTTTGCTGCGGTAACGTTTTTGGTTTTGCTAGATCTTTGAAATGGTTAAGCGGATTCTTATCATATTTTGTACACGACTTCCGAGGACTTAGTTTAAATTTGTTGTGCAATAACAAAACCAAAATAATGCATATTTTAAAGGTTTTTTCATTAAATAGAAAAACACTTCAATTGGCCCCAGCACTCTCAATAAGAAGTCTAAAGACTTACTTTAAACGTAATTTTACAGCTTGTAACTGCCTTCAAATGTATGTGAAGTTTCATTAGTATCCCGTAAGTATTTAACAAGTTATGATGATATTCAGTTCTTCACGAGCACGGTCTTAATGCACGCGGTGTTATTTGGCCACTGGATTGGATATATGAACTGAATGTTATGTCAATAATTAGTTGTTTAAATCAGTTGTATATCGGTAAAATTTCAGCTCAATACATTGGATAATTAATGAGATAATACTATGAAAGTCATTAGGAAGTGAATGACCGTGGTAAGCCGACCAAGTTTAGGTGGTTACGAAAAAGCGAAAACGCAGAACATTATACTATCTTTTGAAATGTTTAGTATAATACACCTTACAATTTTGGTACAGACGCGTACACTGTTTAATACCTATATAATAATAATATAAAAGAAAACATTATCTTCCAGTTCCACAAAATTATCAAAAATCACCGCTAGAGCATGCCGTTCGGTAGGACGCAGGAGGAGTGGGGTGAAGGGGTAATACATTGTTTGCATAACGCACTCAGTCTTGCCAGAAGGTTACTTTTGTAACCTTTTAGATGATTTTTGAACTGCATTTTGAAATAGAAATGACAAGGACGGGTGATATTTAATCGGTTGCTAAGCAACACAAGTTTTTATAAGTAAGGGAGTAAAAGTTCAATTGAAATGATTATTTTACCTTTCAATAAAAAATCTTGAATAATCATGTAGTTTTTTTTTAAACTTTTGTACATGTCTGTACTAAATTTATAACACTATCCTACATATTTTAGAAGGTACCATAATGTTCTGCGTTTTCGCTTTTTCGTAACCACCTAAACTTGGTCGGCTTACCACGGTCATTCACTTCCTAATGACTTTCATAGTATTATCTCATTAATTATCCAATGTATTGAGCTGAAATTTTACTGATATACAACTGATCTAAACAACTAATTATTGACATAACATTCAGTTCATATATCCAATCCAGTGGCCAAATAACACCGCGTGCATTAAGACCGTGCTCGTGAAGAACTGAATATCATCATAACTTGTTAAATACTTACGGGATACTAATGAAACTTCACATACATTTGAAGGCAGTTACAAGCTTTAAAATTACGTTTAAAGTAAGTCTTTAGACTTCTTATTGACAGTGCTGGGGCCAATTGAAGTGTTTTTCTATTTAATGAAAAAACCTTTAAAATATGCATTATTTTGGTTTTGTTATTGCACAACAAATTTAAACTAAGTCCTCGGAAGTCGTGTACAAAATATGATAAGAATCCGCTTAACCATTTCAAAGATCTAGCAAAACCAAAAACGTTACCGCAGCAAAATCTCGAATAACTTCGCAACCGAAGAAAGAACAAATACAAAATAAGGCACAACATTTACTTTATCTAGACAACTAATTTTATAGCTAATATTTATTTAAATATTCCCATTAGAAAGAAAAAGGTCTGGCTGTGGTAACGTTACGCCAGCAGGAAATGTTTTTGTGAAATAATTAAAAAACTATAAGCGCAACAAATTTAAAAATGTGCGCAACAATTACAGAAGCCGCACAACTAATTATCTATAAGATTCAAATGACCATTGTCGACAACATCTGGCCTGGGTAACGGACACCAATCCTTCCCCTCCCCCAATCCCTAAATCTCCAAATCCTCAATCCCCAAAAGGTCTGCAACGCACTCGTAACTGCTCTGATGTTGTCCATGGGCGGCGTTGATTGCTTACCATCAGGTAATCCGTTTGCTCATTTGCCGACTTATCACATAAAAAAAGGAACCTTCTCATACGGAGAAGGTTTGAGCAGTAATCACGCTCGCTAAGGCGGATTGGGGATTCCAAAATTGGTTTTGTTATTACTATAAATGTATTGAATTTGACTAGTTAAAAACTCTAGAATTCTTTATTGGGTGATCCAAGTACTTATAAAAAACTGTTCGTCATTTTCCACAGAGCAAGAACAAAATGACACAGAGTTGTTCCGTGCGGGAATCGAACCCACGATACGTTGCGCATCAGCTGGTTGACCGTCCAACACTCCATAACCCCCCTTTTCTTGCCCTGGATGGGGCGAGAAGAGCAGTCAAACTATTACTGATTGAATACTACCCTATGGTCTCATGTTCAGCAGGGATTGGAGCTAGCGGGGCTAGCGCAATAAGGCACCGGCCTCGGCCCAGAGCAGGAGAAGGAACGGGGGGTTTTAGTCAGTAAGAGTCTGACACTGCCTCTCGCCTCACCCTGGGCGGGAGAAGTCATTCGATACTTTTCCCCTGACAAAAAAGCTTTGCTAGGTAGACTCTGTGCTACTTAAAATTCATTTTCGAACACCCCCACGACTTCTGCGAGGGACAGTCAAACTCTATCTGGCTAAAAACCAGCCTATTACTTTTCCTGCTTCAGGCTGAGGCCGCGATGCCTAATTGCGCTTAACCCCAGCTAAGCATCAGCGATCTTAGACTCCATCTGTGATGGTCTGTTGGCTCCTTGAGGAGCCCGGTATGCTTGGGCCTAGTTCTGGTACACCCGCGCTTGCGGTGGCCAGAGATCATCGAGTTTCTTAAGTTAGGCGTTAGTTCAGCATCGAACTTATGATGATGATGATTTATAAGGGAATCACAAATCATTCATGACAATAAAGTATCATCAATCTTATAGTTTCTGCCAGCGTCTTCATCCGCAGTACGCGGGTAAAAAATAGCCTATGTGATATTCCAGACTATAATCTATCTCTGTGCCAAATTACATTCAGATCCGTTCAGTAGTGTTTACGTGAGAGAGTAACAAACATACATCCGTCCTTACACACTGTAGCGTTTATAATTTTGTTTTAGGAGCCATTTGCAAGCTGGATGAAAAAAACAACGCTAAAAAAACATTGATTTAAATATTTTTTATTAACTTTAAAATATTAAATTATGCAAAATACATACAAAGACTAATACAACAGTTTTAATTTATTACATTTTAAATGCAAAATTACATTTTTTCGAGTGTGTAAACTAAATGAAATATCGTACATAAATAAACATGTGATTTATTAATTTTCCAAAACATACTTAAAAAAAAAACCGAAAAAAAATAAAAAAAAAATATTTTTTTGGAAACATAAAATTACATTTTTAAATGCCAACAGATAAATGCGTTTGAAAATTAATAAAAAATTTACATTTTTTTCTTATCTATGTACGATATTAAAATATAATATCTTTGATTTTCCAATAATCCGATTACAAAATTACAAAAAAAGAAACATACCCTAACATCCAAAAGGGGCGGAGCGATGTGCTTCATAGGTTTTTTTTTAACAAAATGTACAATTTCAAGTTTCCTTTACCTTTTTTTATGGGGAAAAAAAAGATATAGAAACTTTTAAAATTTTGATTTGATCCAAATGCTTTTTTAGCTACCTTTTTCTAGAATTTCTGAT